AATTCGTTTTTGATGTAATCCAAATTTCACACTATAGCGGCCGTACAAAGTCAACTTTGTTCAGCCCCATTGACAATCAGCCGATCAGAGGGCTGCAGGGTATAAGTAAAATAATATGTCCACCATTGGTAAGAGCAAAAGATAGTCGGCTTTTACATTAGTACAAAATTTATTTTTACTGAAATTTTTACTGACACGAAAAGCCATTATTTTTTTACGGGTGGTCGTCAGCCGTGCCCAGGGATGAGGTAAAGTACTCGCCCATCTGTTGTATTATGAACCTGCAGCGTGTTGCGGGTTAATCAATTAAAAGAAATGGGAACCATTACCAGAAGCGGCGTAGTGCTTAAATATTCCAAAAGGCTGCAGGCCTAATGGGAATTACAAAATGAGTTGACTCACATAACACCCAACTCAAGCCCAACCGCGAAATTTAACAGTTAAGCACTCCGGGGCAACGGATTCTCCTATGATTGGATCAATTTGGTATTGGTTTGGTCTTTATTTGGTTTATTGAAATAAAGACGGCTGCTTCCTAAACACACGAGTGTGTTGAAAAACACTTCCTACCGCCATGTTGTAACATTGTATATAGGTTCCCTTCTCCATTATTTCGGACTGTGATGTCGTCAACGAAGATGACCTGGCTGGATTTGTCATTTAAGTAGTTTTGTCTGATGTCAAAAGAGCGACCTAAAAAGAAGATTTATAGCATCTGACTGAAAGCAAAAAATAAAACCAAATCTAATCTGTACTCTGAATGATCCGTTAGTGGGCGCTCCGATGTCCTGACGTTGGCACTATGGTTGGCACGATTCCACTTTTTGACGTTGGGGGCGCTCCTTTTACTTAGCGGTAAAACCCGAAGAAAGACTTCCAGCTATAGGCCTACCGTACCTGAAAGGTGACTGTCCGTGCTTTTTATTAAACTAATTCGATTTTTTTTTCGATTTGAAAGTTTCTTTTTTAACTTATTTTAACTATGTTGGCGTCTGTAAAGCTTCGAGTATAAAAGGTTGGGGTTCATACGAAAGCCCTGAAGAGACAGCACACATCGCAAATATTTGCGAAAATATATATAGGCTGCGATGTCGCAAATATGTCGCAAATTTTATCGCGAATAATTTTGGAAATATTTGCAATGTCGCAAATTTTGTCACGTACTTTGTCGCATACTTTTGTGCATAGTTTGCATATTTGTACCGGGCTATTTATCAACTAATCTAGAGGGTGTTAAAGTTGTTTGAGTCCCAACCTTCATATGCAGGAGAGTAGTCAGGTACCGTACGATGTACGAACGTTTGACGACACGGCGATCGAAGAATTTGCGAAGATGTTTGCAATAATATTTGCGACATCGCAATTATACCGCAAATTATTATTTATCGTTATTACATATTGCCGATTTCAATGGCGCATTGTAATGGTTTTGGAGCTTGGTTTTATTGTTCACGGTCAGAACTCTCTAACCATATCATTTATGGAAATAGTTCCTGTAATAATATCTTTTTTTTAAATACGCCGGCGGAGGGGGGGGGGGGCAAGGTCCCCCCCTCTGGATACGCCATTGCTTGTTTCCAGTCCCTATGGTTGCAGACCAGTAAATCGGTCGGAAATTGCCTACGCCGGCCAAATCACGATTTGCATGCCCTCAAAATCTTCAGTATTTGAGCATGCTGTGGGCCATGAACTGGAGGGTTTGTAAAAAATATGGGTGGAAGCCGTGCACAGGACTGTGAGCTTGTAGTTCCGTTCAATTTGGATGAAATTGGGGCCCTAAAAGCGCTCTATTTTCCAATGGAGTGTAGGCATCGTTTTTCAAAATGGCGATAGGCTTCAGGACTATTTTAAGGGGTGATCATCTTCGGATGGAAATTTCTCCTAAAAGTCATTAGTTGACCCCCGTAAATTGAAAAGAAAATGAAAGATGATGAAATAAGCTTTAATTTGATGTGTGTCTCGAACACCTTAGAGAGTTGTGAGTATTTTTCCCGAATTTCTGAAGTGGAAGCATTTATCATTGGGGTCAATGGAAGTTTATTTACTGGTCTGGAATCTATAATGTCAAAATGGCGTCGTCCATCGTTCGTTGTCAAAATATTCCGCGACAGTGGTTTTTCAGGGGCGTGACCTGGGGGGTGGGCAGCGTTTCAAAGGGGTTTCCTATGGCGGTTCCGCAACAAATGCGCCCAAATCTGCAGGGGGCCCTGATCGTCATCCGATTACACAAATTTCAAGCGAAAATGGGGGGGGGGGTGATTTGGGGGTGGAAAGGAGCTGGAATTCAATTTACTTCCGTTGGGGGCGCCCTACAGCAAGGAAGCCGCAAACAGAGGGTTTGTTTTCAGGCCAGAAATCGCAGTCAGAGATTATTTTTCTCGCAATTTTTTGATGAAATATGAGTCATCCATCCTTCCTCGTGCCGTACAAGTGGTGTTGGGGAAGTTTTCAAAACCTCGCTTCTTTAAAGGTTGCAGTCCAGTAAATCGGTCGGAAATTGCCTGCGCCGGCCAAATCATGATTTGCATGCCCTCAAAATCTTCAGTATTTGAGCATACTGTGGGCCATGAACTGGAGGGTTTGTAAAAAAAATATGGGTGGAAGCTGTGCACAGGACTGTGAGCTTGTAGTTCCGTTCAATTTGGATGAAATTGGGGCCCTAAAAGCGCTCTATTTTCCAATGGAGTGTAGGCATCGTTTTTCAAAATGGCGATGGACTATTTTAAGAGGTGATCATCTTCGGATGGAAATTTCTCCTTAAAGTCATTAGTTGACCCCCCCCCCCCGTAAATTGAAAAGAAAATGAAAGATGATGAAATAAGCTTTAATTTGATGTGTGTCTCGAACACCTTGAAGAGTTGTGAGTATTTTTCCCGAATTTCTGAAGAGGGAGCATTTATCATTGGGGTCAATGGAAGTTTATTTACTGGTCTGGAACCCTATAGGCCTACATCGTCGCTTCTGATATAGGACAGCAACCAGTCTAAAGCTATACTTATTGTTGGGCCGCAAATACTTCATAATGTGTAAAGTAGGCCTATTCATTCCACGTAACGAAAGGTTGTCCAATTATTTCGTTCGATGTCTCATTTAGAAGTGAAATACCCCTGCATTGCAAGAAAACAACAGCACTGACTATGCATCTTTTATTATATGTAGTTTACTTGGAAGCCATTTCAGCATGATGTCCGTTTTAATAGAGTATATTACGTGTAGGCCTAATTAGGGAACCGTTTTCAAAAGTCAAATACTTGCTTTTAGTTCCCCTCGCCCTCACCCCCAGGCGACCTCCGTGTGTGCAAAAAAAATATATAAAAAATATAAAAAAAACCATCTTTTAACAGTTACCGGTACATTTGGAGCGAACAACGCTCAGAAAAGTTGCTGCAATTTTGGGTCTACTTTATGCGAAGAGACTCATTAGCATGTTTGTAACACTGATCATATAGCACTGATAGACAGGGTTTTCGCCAAAGATTCTTTGTATAAATAGACTAATGTCCTGTCATTAAGTTAGGAGCTGAGCCTGACTGTGTGTACATATGTATTATGTTCCTTAGGCCAATAAACTACATGTATATGATTGAGGAGGTTTCTAGTAAATTTCAATGCTTGAGCTAAACATTCAAAGTGTTACAATTACAGGTGTTACTAAATTATGTAATTTAAGCCGGAAATCTGAATCTGTTCAACCTTCTGCCAGCTCAATGGTTAAGTAGTAAATAAACACTCTGGTTTGTAATCCCTTTTTCCTGGAGTTAGCGATTTCCTGGACAGTCTAGCTCTTCTGAGACCATGGAGCTGTATGCTGAGACTGACCCGGATAGACCCTAGACATGTTCGGCAGTCCTACTGGTGTTGAGATGAGAGGGTGGGTGATGGCCACGAACGGGCGCGTAGCCAGAAGGCTTCACGGAGGAGTATGGTATGGAGTGGGGGCGGGCTTGGGATGGGGAGTGGGGGCGGGATGGGGGTACGTTGGACACCATCTGACAAGCTGGGCGCCGTCCACTGCGGAAACTGACGCGCATGCATAGAGAAATTCGTTTATTGTAATTAGGCCTACCCATAACGTTTCTACAGTTGAATTGTTTTATGTAAAAGCACACTTTAAATGTACTCTTCTCGTACCCCACTTAAATCTTTCGGATGGTTGTGCTCTGGGATTCAGCTCCCTTAAACCACCCCCGCCTCATCGCTACGTCGCTGGCTTTTGAAACCAAGGGTGCGGTCATGTTAAGGACACCTCACACATCAATTGGATTCGCTTCTTTCTGTCTAAAATTTGAAGTTACAATTTGATGTGGCAATTTAAGGCTCTCCACGGGGTAAAATTTAAGGTATGCTGTTTTCGCTAGAAAACCGATTTTGCTCCAATTGTTCAGTTATAAGCGGGCTTGCTTGAACAGTGGCGTATCCAGCGGGGGCAAGGAGGGGCAACTCTCCCCCCCCCCCCCCCCCTCCGCGATATTATGCCATACTTTTTTAGGATATGAAGCACCAGAACCACACGACTGATATTATTAGTAATAACACACAACACCAACCCACCCACCCCTCACCCCGCTCGATTTTAACAGTTTTCACGGAGAGTTAAGAAATTGAGTCCTCTTTAACAGGAAAATTACCCATATTGACCCAAATCCTGGGTACGCTGAGGCTCAACGCAAAGCGAAACCAAAGCACAGACTTGGAACAAGTCTAGACCGTTTACAAGGCTCCAGTCTCATTTTGTCTTCCAATTAGGGGCCACTTCATCCCTTTGTGTGTTCCTCAATCGTTTATTGGTGCTTAGTACGCCCGATTAGCCGCTTTACGGCTTGTGTGCCACCTGGGAACATGGTGATGCATTGTGCCTGCCCATCCAGGGGTTTCATTCATGAGTTCGCAAACCACAGCTGCCAATCAACGCCACTGACCAATCACAATGGGCGGACGGAACACTGCCCAATCACAATAGGCGTATCTGTGACGTCTCGCACAGCCTCCGACGCTGTAATTACTCTCATTCATCATCCTTATTCATTAAAATCTCAGATAGGAGTTTCTAGCTGGCATTAATCTACACACGATTTTTTGTATCCTCGAGCACAATTCACTCTTCGGTCAGCGTTTTATCGTTAAAGTTGTGATTTTTAGCACTTTTCTCTGCTGTTTTCCTCACTTTGTTTGGATCTGTATCGAGTATGCTTCGGCGTGAGTTTTACTCCAATGTGTCGCATGTAGAGCAAGGTGAGAGATACACAGTGTCACATCATGGCGCGACCGAAGACACAAGACAAGGAGGCAATGATCATCTTCAAAATACACCTGCAAGATCTAACGCCAGTACGGATTACAGCACCCAAAGCCTGTCAAACCAGGCCGGGATGCAGCCAGCACCTCGGGGAACGAGCATGGTGACGGAGGGCCATGTTGCCCGGAGTCAGCAACCTCTTACGGTCAACACTGACTGCTTTAGGGGTACTGATCAGCCAAACGCAACGCCTCACCCGCAAGCTGACCCTGCTCGATATGCGTACGACAGCCACTTCCATCCCAACACGGAGATTGCCAACTTTCAAACACCACAGATGCACAATTACCATCCCTACCACCCGAACATGTACCACCACCAGTACCAAATGCATAATCCAAGCCCTCTGCATCATTTACAGCAGACACGGGTTGGCCAAATGATCTACCAAACAGACCCCGCCAACCCGTCCGGATTCCCTCAGGCATCTCCCTCGGATCTATCCACCACTAGTAGTCAGTCTTACTATCATACCGGTCGCTCATCTCCAAGCGTCTCATCATCAACCTGCTCTTCCCCGGTGGAGCTTGAGGACCTCTCGGTACCTGCAAAGACACGCCCAGCGGACGGATTTACCAACCTGCAACGGACCACTTGCCCTGACTTCTCCATTCCAAGTACGGAGCAGTGTATGCAAGAGCTAACTCCGCGGATCAGACCTCCAAGTGCCGAGCAGCAGGCACCGTCTATCGGTGCGTCACCCCCGCAGGAATTCAGCAAGGCTTCGGTGTTCCTGTGCAACAGTGAGCTGTGGAGAAAGTTCCACGAGCATCGAACGGAGATGATCATCACCAAACAAGGACGGTAAGTACAGTGCGAAAAAAAAATACTTTTGACTATTTTCTCTGTAAGTAATGTTGAACTTTTAGAAGCAATTTCAGGCAATTTATTTGCTTTATTCATAACCGGTGCTTTTGTTATTTTCCCCGACCCACATTTTCCTAAACACATTGCTGTATTCCACACGATAACAGTCAGGTTGGCGTAGCGGTACTTTCCTCGCCTTCCACCGCTGTGACCCGGGTTCGATTCCTGCCTGGGCTAATATGTGGATTGGGTTTTCTGTCCTGACCTGATTCCGTGGGTTTTCCTCTCATATTAAGAACTGTACTTTCTTTACATTGTCTTCCCTTTACTGGACCCTACGGGAGACCAGTGGATTTCACTGAATGGGCTACCCAGCTAAAATCAGAAATAAAATTAAAAAACAAATAAACAGTAATGTTTATCAAACGTTGATCTGTATTCGTTCTTGGACTTTAATGCAGATATCCTTTTATGGTTTAAATACTGCTTGGTATTGTTAAATGAATCAATAATTCAGGATTTACACTTCCTTTTATCGATATTTTAAAGGGAATGCAATGTTGAATGTTCTTTTTAAAAGTCCCATTGCATGATATTATTATCAAATTAGTTCCCTTATTTGTAAAGCTCTACATGTAGTTTTTCCACTCTCTGATGAATCACGGATGAATGAAGTTTTGTTGAATAAAATTATTTTGTAAGTTATTTACAACCGTCATTTTAAATGTGCTGTTGTTTATTTCTTAAACACTTAAATAACTACTGCTGTAGATAACTCTGTTTACGTTTGTTTATTTATCATTTGACGTTCAAACAACAAAACACGTCAAATCCAACATCAAAGGGTGAGTGACCGACCGGTCATTCAACCCCGGCGGTCTAGATTGTTACGTCACGGCGAGAGGTTGGTCTGTCTGCCTTTCCGGGAATCCCTGGCACCTGTTTAAGCGCTTTATAGGGGAGGTCTTCCGGCTGAACTTGGCCAATTAGCACCTGCAAGCTACGATGTTGCCGTGTTGAATAAACTCCTACAAGCCATAAATGCCAATGGAACTTCACGGGAAAACTATATTTGAAAATACTGTATTAAAAATCAAAATTGTAGCTGACTGTTGATCTATGTCTGTCTTCTAGATCCATGCATTCAAAATATGTAATAAAGGTTTTTGAAATTTTAGTGATTTCTTTCCAATACGACCACCTCATGGGGTGGCCCGAACAAGAAAATTGCCATGATTAAAGCTTACCTATATGTGCATACAGCGGCGTAGCTACGGGGGGCGTGGGGCGCACGCCCCCCATAAAAAGTTCGTGCCCCCCAGTCGCGCCCCCCCCCCCTTCTGAAAATTTGGCATCCGTAGAAAAGAACATCCATATGAATTTATACCATGATTAGCTGGAAGAATATTTAGTCCTTTTTTCCGCCATTTTGTGTGTATTTTTTACCTAAACTCTATTTTTTCCACGATTAGTTGTTTATTGTAACGTCGAATAGCTGTAGTTATTGTCTTATGTAGCCATGATATACGTTTTGAATAGCGCCCCAGCCCAGGGGAAGATGGTGTCCGGAATCCGCCCCCCCCCCCTCAACTTTTTCCGCGATACCCTTGCAAAAAAAATTCCTGACCTGAGCTTTTCTGAATTTTTAGCCTCAAGTCTTGCGCATCTTTTGATACCAAAGACATAAAATTCTGACAATGGGTTGCAGCGAAAAGTATTCGGCGTGAAAACTGAATTTCCCCATAAGTGTACACAAAGCAGATTTACCATTGGTGCATATGAATAATTAATTAGCCATAATTCCAAACCTTTTGACTTATAGTCATGACATTTCTTGGGCATGTTCATATTATTAAGTTGTTCTATGCATGTACCGGGTTTCATAATTTTTCGTCACTCGATCGCCGAGATCTAAGGGGGGTGGCGGAATCCGCCCCCCCCCCCCACCCCCCGGCTGTGAGCTGGTCAAAATAACCCGGCCCTTTTAGGATTTAACAGTGACTTGATATTTGCAAATGATATACATGTAGAGGGAAAAGAAATTTTGAGATTGTTACTATTATTACGTACCTACGTAAAATTACTCTTACGAATGAATCTATCTTCGACCTTGCAGACATGCTGTGATTACTTCGATTATTAAGATATGTTCGAATAACCCCTTAAAGGGAATATACAACATTTGCAATCATCGAAAAATAAACCTACCAAGTTTTTACGAAATACCTTACTAGGATGTTGGTAAATGACAGTCTAAAGCATCCTGTAATATTATGGCACCTGGTGTCAAGTCATTTTCAAGAAAATGGTATTTTTGTATACATTTCCAACGATGGTCGGCCGACCACCGTTGGAAAAACCTAACTATTTTTCAACTACAGCTCCAAATTTACAATTTTTTTCAGTCCAAATTTTGTTTGCTATTGGTTACATGTGCTTGAACGGGTGCAGGCCAGCTGGACAGGTTCCCTTACCTTACAATTTTCCGACATCTATAAATTGATCCATTTTATCTTTAGTGGAGTCAGACTACTTAAACATTTTTGTTTTTCTTGGTTTTTCAAGCATTTTCGAACACAAAACTTCAAACATGTCAGTGTAACAATAATTTGACTAACCCCTCAAATAGTTCATTTCTGAAAATTACAGCAAAAGCCAATGATGTACATTCCCTTTAACTTATTAGTCGTCTTTCCTATGTTGATATTTATCCAGGCGAATGTTCCCCCAACTAGTCTTCCGTCTGAGTGGTCTGAACCCTGCCGCACACTACAACGTGTTCGTAGACATGGTCATAGCAGATCCAAACTCCTGGAAGTTCCAGAGCGGCAAGTGGGTGGCTACTGGGAAGTCCGATGGAGTACCTCGAGGTGAGTCTATGGGAATGACACTGAAGGCTCGCTACGTGCCTCACTAGGGAGAGGGGATAATCCAACCACGACACCCCTCCCCCCCCCCCTTAATCATAATGATAACCGAGGAAAATTCTAGCTAGCTTTTGGCAAATATGCGTTCAGCCCTCCCCACTCATACGGGTTTAGCGACGCATCCATAAGCGCCCGTGAAGTGAGCGTCATACTTAAACTTAGTTGTATAATATCCATGCCTCAATTTCAGCGGTATAAAAATGATGTTTCACCCCTTTTTAAGTGAACTTGATGCCTTACGGGTTCAACCAAGTACATGAACTCCCATAGAGACCAATGATAAATTCCCACACTTCAAAATTCTTTTAAAACTACTCAACTCTCACAGGTGTTCAGACTGCACAGACAAATGGTGATCAACATGTCGAGTGTCATTTTCCATTCAATTTTTGGTGGGTTGACGTGACCAATGACGTTTTGAGAAATTTTCACCCAAAGAAGGCTACCCCTTATTTCCAAAACTGGAAAAGTAGCCATTTAAAAAAAAAGATCACTCCACAACATAGCTAAATACATGTAGTGACACTTTCGGACCCAATTGCACCCTAAATGCTCAGAATTGGAAGCCCCAAATCCAAGCCAGAGGTGCTTTGCAATATATCTTTTATCCCCAAATTCCATGGCTCTCAAAACTCTCTAATATATTGAACAATTTATTCATGAGTTCGGTGGACGGATTTTTGGTTTATTTACTGGGGTGCACCCTTTAACTTGGGCCTAATTAATGTTCATTGATATCTTAATTCTCCTACTGTAATGGATGACAGAGCAACATTGATGTCGAAACAAAAGGGGTCAACACTCTTGTGACACGTTAGGCTGACTCAAAGAAGTTGTCCAAATAATGCGTCAGCGCTGTTAAATGTGTGTTAAAAGGGGGATTATGAAATCATTCTGTTCTGAGAGAGCTCATTAAGGATAAGAAACACACACAAAAGATATTTTATATTTCGCACAAATTCTTTCAAAATATCAGTTTCACCTTTCAGCATCTTCAACGCCAGTGCATTTTTGTGCATACTTTGTTCGATTTATACCACATAACAATGTGCAGCTTAGGTCGGGCTGGCGATATATGCTCGTCTTAACTGAAATCTCGTATAATTTATAGCCTGACTTGACAAAAGGTGCTCAGTCGCCAATGACTGCAGGGGTGCATGGAAAGCCATGAACTACCGGTACGCTATTTTGGAGTTTGATACCGCAAAATAGATTCCTTTTCAAAATTGCCTTTGTTTGCTATATATAGCAATGCAAAAGTTATCCACTTATGAATTAAACAACGACCAAAAAATCTTCCCATGTTTAGTTTAATATTGAATTATTTCTTTACAATTTCGAATTATTAGCTGCCTGGAAGTAATTCCGTTCCCGCGGATTAGGCTGGTTCCCGCCCCAGAATCAGTATGTAATGTACTGACCGGGAGCCAGTCTGCTGGCAAAGCGGATTGCAGACATCAAAAAAAGAGGAAAGGAGGTATTTTGGTTGGAATAAAACGTGCAAGTTGGAAAAAAATGTGTTGAAGAGCACGGGGAACCCCACTTTAAGGCACATGTATAAGCATACTGACAGTGTTCATGTTTGTAACTTCATCATAGTAACCAATTGTTGGATGCACTGTGTATTATTGTTTATGTCATTAATTTTACTCTCTTCCCCTAGCTACGGGTATCTTTAAACACCCTGACTCCCCGAACACTGGTGAGCATTGGATGAGACAAGACATTGCCTTCTCCAAGCTGAAACTGACTAACAACAGAGGAAAGGATAGTGGATATGTTAGTATTTTAAAAAACAATTGATTTCACGTCTAATTGCTGACTTTTTGAGATGCAACCGGCCGACTCAGACAAGTAACATGTCTGGTTTCATGGTGTGATGCGATTCCTTTTAGAAAGTAAAAAGAATCATCATTTTCATAAGCTGCAAAATCATGTAAGCAACGGTGCATGTACATCAATATGAGCATGCTCATCTTCGAGTCCAATTTTCAACGTCATACTGATCATTTTCTTTTATTCATCGCCATCAATGTCATTATTCTGCTAATTTTAATTATGACTTATCGTGAGAACCAATACCATCCAGCCCTATCTGAACGAAAACCTTTCTCTAACAGCAAATGTTCCGATTTTTAAACCAATAAAACGAAGAAGAAAGTTAAGCTGACTTTTTTGCTTTTACTCCTTGATTCTGCTCTCCTCAGCTTGTGATAAACTCCATGCACATCTATCAACCTCGTATCCACGTCTTGGATCTGACTGGTGCTCGCGTGCTGCAGACACACAGCTTCCCTGAGACACAGTTCATTGGAGTCACGGCCTACCAGAATACAGACGTAAGTACATGTCCATCGGCGCTGCGGTCATACTAATAAGCGTCAACGCAGCGTCAACACACACAGAAGCGTCAACACCTCCAAAACGCAATTAAATTGACAAAACCAGTGTTCAAACCGTACAGTATGGGCAGAAATAAAATGTTGGCTCAAAATCAATAGGATAAACGTCTGAAAATTGTAATTTTCTGTTCAAGAAAATTGGCTCTAAGTGCAGCGCCGAAATCGGCAGCCAGGTTGCTTCAGGGGCAGCGCAGACGAGACCATTACGCAAAAGCGGTCATACTAATAAGCGTCAACACAGCGTCAACACACACAGCGCTGCGCTGGTAATTTTTATTTTCAAGCCTTACTTGAGGGCTCTAAACCAACTTTCTGTTTGCACATTTGCAGTCCGTTTTCTTTCGACTTCTCCTAACGAAGTTGTATATTGCATATTTCTTTTTGACTACTGTTCTGTATAAATAAAAAATGAATGAATTATTGTCTGGCCGCAAATAATTCGAAATGTGTAAAGTAATTATCTATCCGACAACTAAATGTGCATGGGCGGACTTTTTCTCACTCGATGTCTCATTCGTTTAGAGAATCGCTTTTTTTTCTGCTGGAAAAATGGCAATAAACAAAAATCTGATTCTCGGGGTGTTATGCGAAAATAGCACGAACAATACATCCGCACGTATAAGAGAAGTGTATGCCTGAATGACTTTGTATTTGCGATGTTAAGCATGTAGTTTAAAGGTACGTGTTCAGTACATCATTTTGTCCGTTTGAAGCAACAAAAGTGCTCCAAAACTAGAAGGGTGCTTAACAACTAACCTGATGAACTTTTAGCTCAGTGAATGTCAGTGAATGCTGTATATTTCGAGAAAACAATATTTTAGGATCATGATTTCAAATCGAAAGTTGTTGAGTCATGTTTTGAATTGCGCCCGAATTCAGCGTCCTGAACACGTTCTCGTTCAGCCGATTGCAGCTACGCGATGTCGCGCACTGAACCGACGAATTATAGCAACCGTGCCGTGCGCGCGTGTGCGTCGTGTCAACGCTTGCGCGGACTCATTCGTGGCTTCGCCGAACTAAAAAGGAACTATACGAACGGAAATCTCCAAAAATGCGTCTTTAGACGCACCGTTGGAAATGGCCCGTTTTCATTGTTTTCTTCAAAATGACAACTTGCCAGAAAGAATGATTTCACAGGGAGTTTGGTCCCCTTACTATATCTAAACCAAGTATGCTTTTCAACAATAATTTCGCCAGTTACTTTTTGGATAGCTGCAATGATGGACTGTACCTTTAAAAAACAGAAAGGTTTTCAGTTATGATTACATATACATGTACACTGTACATGTAGTAATGATGTGTGTTATTGTTCCATCTGCAGATCACTCAGCTGAAGATAGACCACAACCCATTTGCGAAAGGATTCAGAGACAACTACGACAGGTATGAATTTTATTCTTGGGGGGGGGGGGGCGTTTGTGAGAACTTACCAGTGAAGCAATTCAAATGAACTATGACAATGGCATTCCATTGTCCCTGCTTGTGCATACCCTCTTAATGGTGAGATGACGTGTGATTCACTTGTTCGTATATTTTAAGATATGGTTATAATTACAGTAAACCGTTCAGTTTTACCATGGAGCTGACAATGAAGTGACTGCCGCATAGGTTTTATTGATATCTGTGTGGAGTGCCGTGGCCTGGAGGTCTGGAGCATTGACCTCATGGAGCATTGAACTCATGGTCTGCGGGTAATTCTGCAGGTTGTGGGTTCGAGTCCAGCCTGGGGTTGTGGTGCGTGTGCCACTGGGCAAGGCACTTTGTCGATTTTTGCTTCTCCCATCAAGGAGTAAATGGGTACATGTGAGGGCAGAGATTGTTACTGTGATCAATTTAGCTGCTTTGCACCGAAATGGCAGCATCGAGCTTTTAACTCTCTGAGGAGTTAAATGCTTAATGAGCAGGGGTAAGATAAAGTAGCGCCTTGAGCCCCAACATTAACAATGGTAAACATGTGTGCTTTATAAATACACATTATCATTATTATTATTTACCGTACCTTTTTTTTAACATAATCATCTCCACAGCTTTGCCACAAGAGAGCGTCTTTCGTACGTAGCTAGTCTTCAAGAGCAGCGAAACCGAACGAAACCCGCCCAATGCCCAGCAGCCAACGCCATCATCCCGTCAGATACAACTGGTTTTCCGTGTCAGACCAACCCAACTCAACGCAGCAATGGACAACATGAAGGGCGACCTCTGCCGATGAAACTGATAAGAGCGTCAGAGCCGTCATCATCAACGAACTTGGCACCGGCTTGTAACAGTGGCAGCGGCATGTCCGGCCATGCGATCTGCAGTGATTCAGCCCCTTCGAGTACCATCCGTCACTCCCCAAAATCCATCGGGGGACGAGAGGGGGCGTTGCCCAACTTGGGTGCGCTGAATAACTCCGGCCATCCTGGATCCGTCTTGGATACTCCACCGAACCAGAGTCCACACGGAGGGTGTGAGCGTAGCAACGATAAGCACACACCAGCACATAAGTTGGGGGAAGGACTTGGCTGTGGAATGCTGGAGTGTGGGGAGATTCCATGGTTAAACACCCCTCCCTCTGTTTGCTCGAGTGACAATAGCAACCCAGATCTTCCATCGGCTAAGAGGCTTCGCATCTCACCAGCTGGCTCAGGTTCACCCTCTGTCACTTCCGGAACGTCTCTGTTCACTTCCGGGTCATCAGCAGCTCCATCACCACCCCTCCTCACAACTGCCCCCACAGCCCATATTGCTCCAGGGTTGGACAGTACTTTGTCGACTGAGGGCGTTGTCCAGTGTTCCAATCGATCGCTCGTCATGCCACAACCGTACTACGGAGTTGGAGGGAGCTTTGCATACCAGAATGATTCTCACATGGGCTATTCCTACATGGGACAAACTCGCCAAGAACTGAACCTAGCAACCAGTGCACCCTACTACTACCAACAGAACAACTGAGGCTATTCAGAGACTCAGAGGCCAAGGGACAACTCAGTAAATGAAATGATGACACTCTAGTCTTAGCCCCCAAATGACTGTCCTCCTTTGTTATCATAGTGCAATCACCTTGTCATAGGACATTCTAATTAAGGGTTTAGCATCTGGTAAATTAAACATGTTGTCTAAACATTGCTGGACCCCCATCAACACTATTTTATTCTTACTGAACATTAAAGATGCATACTAAAGCATTGCTTTCCAGCCATCAAAAGTACTGTTGGAGAATTTCGTTTTTTGCTTTCGATCTTTGACTGAATACCTTTAGGGTTTTTTTGTACAGAAGTGCCTTGAAATGATGTACTCACATAATTTAGATATCGGGTGTGTTGTTATTCTTTTGTCGGTTTAAACTTCATTAGGCCCTATGTGTGGTATTCTGCAAGACTGCAACTGTTAAATGCTTAACGGAATATGGATAGGCACACATGCTGCTACGCGTAGGGTCGGAGACGCAGCCTTTGAAGTGGTTCAGATGATAAAGTGCTGAACCACGACTTTGCAACAATTCATGATAAGCATGAATAAGTACATCTAGTTATGTAAACGAAATTTAAGATAAACGAAATTTTATATTAACTTCCATTTCATTGTAATATTTGATATTTCAGTTCGATGTGAATACTGTAAACTTAATATCATTCCAAGTCATTGACCGAACGAGGACAATGCCATACTGAAATAGAATCCTTTTGATGGGAGATATCTTGTTATGCAATCAAACCAACTCTGTTCACGGACTGTGTTTTTATCAAGCATGTGAACAGCATGTGAACGATGACAATCAATGCAGACGTCAGGCAGTTTGTTTGCTTTCTCAGTGCGTAAGGGTTACAAAGGTTCAAAGTGCGGAATCGGAAACCTATTATGAGATGAAAGCAATACGCGTATAGTTATAATTATCGGGCCCAAAGTCTATGTCAAAGTAAATTAATCACTCTAATTAAGATGTTGTGTCCTTTTTTTGAACTAGGGTCATTCCATGTCAGACCAACGCACTTTTTTACCTCATGTTTTCCGATTTTGATAAAAATTGCTGTGCTTGTAGGTCCTGATGAGCAATGAATGCACACCAATTTTTAGCCCGATCCGACCAACCATGTGGTCAGGGCAGAAACCACAAGAAACGGACATTTTTAGAGCAAAATACCACCTTTTTGGTAGAAATATGTCAAAACCGTGTTAATTTTCATCGAATATATGCAAATTTGGTATTAAAATAATAAGAATCGCATGCTCAAATCAACTCTTTTGTAAAAAATAAATTTTGTGAAAAGGAGGTCACGTGACCTTTAATATGTTATTGTGACCTTTGACCCAATTTATGTAATAATGTATCATTCCGAAAATCAACGAAATGAAGATGACTTGATAGAACATGTCTTCCTCTATCAGAATCTACTAAAAATCAATTGGGGTCTTCAAAATTAACAACTTTATGACTATTTTTGTACAGTTGGTGGGTTACAAACGAGTTAATTTATGACTTTACATTAGAAATCCACCCACACAACTTACTATTCTGTTTCTAAAGGTACTTAAATTAATCTTGGTTTTGGAATTTCTCATGTTTAGGGCTGATGAGGTGTAACCAGACTCATAATATAAATTATCAGCAGTGGCGCACCCAGGATTTTGCTTTTGGGGGGGGGGGGGGCTCATAGCATTTTGTTGTCAAATTTCTGTAGAAGATTGAAAAAAAATCAAACAAACAAATTGACAACCTTGGAGGGGGTGGGTTCAAGTCCCTTGATTCCCCCCCCCCCCCCCCCCCGTGCCACTGATAATTAGTTATCCAACGAGCGCGCTTGGAATATTGGAATATGAAACAATGCAATGCTGCTGTGACCAATATGCCACCCGACACACTACATTATTCCGTGTTCCACGAGCCATAACGAATTTATCTTCAAGCAAACTTGATGTCGAATGCGTACATTGCACGTGGCGAGAGATGTAGGTGCATAGTGTATCGGACCGTTCAGCAGCAAATAAAAAGAACACAATACATACATGTACATGTACATTCGATATTTGGGGCGCAATATAGCTGTGCAGTATTATATCAAATCACACTGTTGTTGCTATAGATGAACTAATCAGGATCTAGGATTCAAGGTTGCTTGAAGATAATACTCAATATCGCAATCAAAGTTACCTTACTCATTCATCACTACGCTTCTTGAAATTTAATGAGTCTCACAGACTTGGCATTTTTTTTCTTCGAGATAAATTTCACCTGGATGTGTGTCTACTGTACTGGGTCCGGGTAGAAAGCATAGAGCTGTTGCGTATCCTAAACAGTAACTGGGGGGGCTCGAGGGGCTGGAGCCCCCCCCCCCCCTCCCTCCAAGGTTGTCAATTTGTTTGTTTGATTTTGGGGTAATTTTTTTTGTTCAATCTTCTACAGAAATTTGAAAACAAACAAATTATGAGGCCCCCCCACCCCCCCCCCCCCCCCCCCACACACACACACACACACAAGCAAAATCCTGGGTGCGCCACTGCTGATAATTTATATTATGAGTCTGGTTATACCTCATCAGCCCTAAACATGAGAAATTCCCAAACCAACATTAATTTAAGTAGCTTTAGAAACAAAATACATGTAGTAAGTTGTGCGGGTGGATTTCTAATGTAAAGTCTATAAATTGACTAATTTGTAACCTACCAACTGTACAAAAATAGTCATAAAGTTGTAAATTTTAAAGACCCAATTGATTTTTAGTGGATTCTGATAGAGGAAGACATGCTCTATCAAGTAATTTTCATTTCGTTGATTTTTGGAATGATACATTAGTACATAAATTGGGTCAAAGGTCACGATAACATATTAAAGGTCACGTGACCTACTTTTCACAAAATTTAATTTTTACAAAAGAGTTGATTTGAGCATGCAATTCTTATTATTTTGATACCAAATTCGCATATATTCGATGAAAATTTACATGGTTTTGACATATTTCTACCAAAAGGGTGGTATTTTACCCTAAAAATGTCCGTTTTTTGTGGTTTCTGCCCTGACCATATGGTAGGTCGGATCAGGCTAAAAATTGGTGTGCATTCATTGCTCATCAGGACCTACAAGCACAGCAATTTTTATCATGAGGTAAAAAAGTGCGTTGGTCTGACATGGAATGACCCACTAACGTTAAAAGTCTCGTGTAGTATACTATCATGCTCGATGGCAAAATCACCCTCAAGGAAAAATGAAGCAGGCATAGTGTTCGCAGGCGTTCATTCTATCATTATGCCTACAGTATAACACCACTCTAATTTTTGGTGTATGCATCGCTCAAAATGCTTTCATCATTTAAATTTGCATTTATATTTATTGAGAATTTTGCTAAGGGAGAACGTGCACATGTAGTTAAAAGTGTAGTGCTAATGATATTGATGTGATGACACATGGATAAATACCAAACGATCATGTTATCTTTGTTAGTTATGAGATTTTCATTAACACTTTACACGCACAAAACCAGCACAGGCCCACAATAAGAAAACCAACATTTTCTTTTAAAATGTCTCATGTCTTTCTAAGATTTCAAGATGCCAGATTATGGAAACATTTCCAGTACTTATTTACTAATATAATTATGTATGAAGCCCCTGCATACATTATATTTTTTTGTAGATGAAATATGTACATTGTATTTAAGTATTTTTTTCTGTTATAGTTAAATTCGATGTTTTGTAAGTTTGTGCAATGTTACTTTTTGTACTTATGCAAATAAAAAAATACACCGAAATACAGCTTTGTTTTGAAAATACCTCCTTGTACGTACTACCCATGCGCACAAAATGTACGTACATGTACATTGTTAAGTTTAAGTTTACGGCAAGTGACCTACCCACAATGCTTCGCTACACCTTCGTTTCCTCACAAGTTCCAGGGATGCACCCCTGTATTAAAATTCCCATAGACACCAGTGCAAAATGCCCATACTTCAAAAGTCTTTTTAGAATACTCAGAAATCTCACAGGTATTTAAGCTGCACAGAATAATGATTATCAACGTGTCATCATTCATTTTCTTTTCAGTTTTTGGTGGGTTGACCATTGACTTTTCGAGAAATTCTCACACAAAGAGGACGACCCTTATTTTTACCAAAGTGGAAAAGTAGCCATCAATCCCTCCACCATGGGCTGTCGCGAGAGGGGCCAATGGGGGAGGTGCTTGCCCCCCTCCGGAAAAGCAAAACAAGCGGGGGGGGGGGGAGAAAGAAAAATACATATGTGCGAAGTCATATTGCTGTTAATTTAAAGGTGGGGGGCAAATGTCCCTGCCCACCCTCGAAAAATGATAAATCGAGAATATGCAGAAAAAGTACAGGGATTTGGCGGGATGTGCTTTGCCCCCCTTTAAAAAAGCCCAGCGACGCCCATGCCCTCCACAACATGGCAACATGGCACCCCTATGGGTCCACTGTACTAATTGAAGCCCCATTGAAAACAGTGTAAAATCAACAAAGTTCAGAGCCAAGTAACATGCAAGCCAACACCACTGGGGTTTCTGGAACAAAAATAAAATTATTGTCTTGTCTTTCATCTTTTCATTTCTTTTCAATTTTAGGTACATTAGCCAATTACATTTTTAAATATTCACACCCAAATAAAATCACCTCCCGAAAAGTGATAGTTCCCGAGCCTGCATGTAGCCATTTTACAAGTGGCATCCTTCCACTTTCACAGGCAAATAGGACCCATTTTTCATCCGTGATTTTATCAAGCCTGCCCTCAGATGGAAGCCCCAAAACCAGGGAGTTGATCCTTGGGTATATTTACACAATTCCACCGTTTTTAAAGCTAAACGGTCTCCGTTTTCAAAAGAAATTGTGGGGGCACTTTTTATGCTAATCAGCTGGCGTAGAAATTCTCGCTTGAATTAGTTCAGTGCACCCCTATTTTGCCCAAAGCGGAAAAGTAGCCATCTTGAAAAAACGATCCCTCCACAATATGGCAAAATAGCGCCACTTTCGAGCCCAATTGCATCCAAAATGCTCGCACTTGGAAGCCCCATATCAGGGCCAGAGGTTCATTGCCATATCTCTCCAATTCCCCATTTTTATAGCTTGCAGAACTCTCTTATATTGGAACATTTTGACGGTACAACTTTTATTCGTGAGCTCGGCGGATGGGTTTAGGCCTATTTACAGGTGTGAACCCTCAGCGCCCTGTCATAGGGCGATGGTAACGAGAGAATGCCATATCTCTGACTTTGTCATTGTCGAAGATTTACCAGTGCTTTGAACCAAGGATCTAATTAAATCTAGGTGTAGCCCATGACCGGGTGCCACACTATGGGCAAATCTAGGCCAGTGTCATATCATATGGGATTGTTGACAGTGTTCACATCATGGCGTTCACGTGGACAGTTCGTTGCTCGCTTATCTTCTCATTTTATCTTCTGATGGAGACAGATGTATAATTAATAGGAACGATATCAGTACAATGTATTTTTCTTATATCTGCACACAATTTTTTTTTACAGATTCCTATTCAGTCGTCGTTTTTGATCTATCAATTTCATACCAAAATTGCGGTCAGGATTAAGCTTTAAAATTGCAATGTACATGTACTAGCTTTCAATAACCATTGCACAGAAACAACGTTTTGAAGATTGTGTTTTCTCTTTTTAGCAGCAAACTGTCTAAACACTGTCTAAATTAACTAAACAAGTCATCTCTCAAACGCACAACAAAATTAGACATAGGCTAATACCTCTCTGAAAAAAACATTCTCACTAGTTAAATTTGACTAGATAACGGTCAAACTTGTGTCAGCCGTGTGTAAGTTTGAGTGTTTCTAATCAAATCTAACTAGTAAGAGTGATTTTAATTCTTACGGTCGGTCAATTGCAAACTTGGTCATCACCTCATTAAAAAGTGAGGTAATCATCATGCGTAATACATTAACGTTGATAATTAGGGGGGTGGCGCACTAACTTTGATGTGCTTAGGAAGTAAAATCTTGCGGTTAATGTCGAGAGTGCAGATATTACGTATTCGATCATGCCAAGAGCAAAAGGCTGGGGCGGGCACAAGGATCGCGTGCAGCTCGAGCTGCAAACAAATACTGTATAATGCGCACCAAAATCAGAAGAATATCTTCGGCTCAAACAATTCGTCTGTTCTATAGAACATTTTTTAAGGTTGTAGACACCGATTAATGTCTTTTATTTGGAATTTTACGCAAACTGTAGGTGGGCGCGGACATTCGGGTATGTTTTATATTGGCTTATCTAGCTCCAAGACTTTTGCTATTGAAACTCAATGGTTCTTGAGTCTGGAGTGCTGAATGGTAACACATAGCAACTGATGAAAACTGGTGTGCGATAAATAGATGTTTTCATCGGATGACGTCCGCCCGCCCCACCTATACGGTCCATAAGGCTGATCAAATGTAGACTGCGGTTAGTACTAATGACTTAGGTTACGTAAAATATGAAGCCACGTGTAGGCTACATGACTGTTGGTGATAAATCCATGATTACACAGACACACTATGTTTATCTAGAATGATTCCCAAACTCGGCCAAAATGACCTTTGATTCTTTGGCCCGATTTCAATCGATATTAACATGCATGATTGTGGTCAGTACTGACCAGTCACGACTGACTGACCGCACTGACCAGGGGAGCGTGCCTTGTCAAGATCTAACCGGGGAATTCGGCTAGTTTGGCTCCGTACACCATGTCTGAATTCACGGCATATGACACCACCTATCTGTGGATTGTCATCGTTGGTTTCATTGTTTCATTCGTCTTAGCTATTGGTCTCGGTGCCAATGATTGCGCCAATTCCTTCGGCACTGCCGTTGGCTCAAAGGTCTTCACACTTTTTCAAGTAAGTCTGCAGGTTAATCTGGATGAAATGTTAAATGTATTAACTCAAAATTAATTTTACCTTTTTCAATTGCTGTTATTTAAGGTTGAACAAAGAAATTGACTGTAGAGGGGTTTGAACCTGCGACCTCTGGATTGTCGTTCCTTAGTCTACCAACTGAGCTCAGTCCAGCCCTATGTTGGCGGTCCCCGAAGGAACCGCTTACATATAGGGCTGGCTAGTTCAGTTGGTAGACTACAGAACGGCAATCCGGTGGTCACAGGTTCAAACCCCTCTCCAGTCAATTTCTTTGTATAACTTTAAAAAATATTTAATGCATCTAATCTGTTTCCCTTTGTTGTTAATTTGAAAGAAAAATATAATTACATGAATTGTAAAAGAATGAGTCCACGAACCACCGAAGTGATCATCGAAAGGTGTTTTTTTTTTAGAAGTACTTTAAATTTGAAACTTCTTGTTTATTTGAACAGGCATGCATATTGGCGGCCATATTTGAGACCTTGGGAGCGATTCTGCTCGGTTCGCGTGTATCTGACACTATAAGGAAAGGCCTGTTTGACCCCACACTATACGAGGGATACGAGCAAGTCTTGTTGATCGGAAACCTGTGTGCCCTCGGCTGTAAGTTACCCCAGTCATCGTTCACATATACAGACCAATACTGAGCATAGGCCATCCCTCAAGCATATCGCATTGGCTGCTGGTTATCACATAACCATATAATAAACTGAACCATTTTAATATTGGTAAGGGGTCTATGTCCGTCTTCTAAAAGTAAAACGCTATACAATACTAGGATATTCAACTCTAATTGACGCTTGTACCGCACGAAATGCGGAGCTACAAAATGTGATGTCATTTGTTGAGCTTCTCTATAACCGTATGTCAATGCTGCAGATATATCGAGTCGTAAATTATTGGTCGTGTAAAGTATTTAAAAAAAAAATGAAACATAAACAAATCTGGGAACTAGTCTACGGGGTCGAGGGTTTGTGTTCTTAACAAAATGTAGAGGTCCAGTGAAACCTTCGTTTGAATAAATCAAAGTAGTTGGTCCTTATTCGTAAATGGGCATGTCTAAATTATGCGATGAATTAGAGAAAGAGGGCATTCAGCGCAAGACGCCAAGTGTACATGTATTCTCTCCATTACAGTCATCATTATCATGATTGATAATGCTGTAGTTCAAAATTATAATAATTATAAATGGGGACTGCACGAGGTAACGTTGAAATTTAAAGAGACAAATCCTTTTCTCAAAGACGTTTCATTCCCAAATCTGGTAATCATTTTAATATGACTTTCCCTTTTCTTTCCAATCAGCTTCTTGCATTTGGCTGCTTGTCGCTACGGTTGCCAAGCTACCGGTTTCTGCCTCGCACAGCATTGTGGGAGCAACCTTGGGCTTCCATCTTGTCATGTTTGGAGGTCAGGGCATCGACTGGGCTGTGGTCGTCAAAATAGGTTGGTTGCTAACATAAAGATTTGAATATACATGTATAAATGACACTCAATTGTGCATTTTTAGTCTGACATGTTACAATACGTTGACGAAATTTAAAGAAATGACTACTTCATATCTGGCGATACCATTAGGCCTATAATTATAAACAAAGAAAAAAGATCACCTTCCGTTTGAAAAGATAGTATTTTATCTAAGAATATTTTATTACAAACAAGCTAAGACTAGTAAAAAGAAATACGGCCATGTTCTTTAAACGAAATCGAACAAAATCAATCGCCTGGCATGGCATGGTCACACACCGTAGAGATTTAGGCCTACACATGCTGTACCATGCCAGCTGCGGTCAGATGTTAACTGTGCAGTAGTAATGTTTAGATGTGTAAAGAAAATGAACGAGGTAACTTTAATATTTGAAACAACTTTACGCTTGTCATATACTCTCGACGATTCTGCGTCAGTTTAAAGTTCATTGATATGGGTAACCGAATCAGCACATTAATGAATATCACACCTTATGGTAGGTGTATATGTTTAAACAAGTTTGATTCAAATTGTCGGCGGGTTTTACAAATTTGAGCTATTTTGTGTCATATTTCATGTTTATAAGCCAGAAAGGTAGGCCTAATAATTATTATTTTAAAAAAACGAACACCCACTTTCCATTATTTTGTCAAGCTTTATGTATACGTACCTTATAAGTCACGGACATGACTGTCGGAAGTAATCCACCTTAATTACAGAGAGGCATCCATGGACCAACCAGCATGTAATTAAAAGGTTAATGATGCTCAACTTATCTTTGATGCAAATAGAGATTAACATTGCGCGCGTGTGAATGGCACATGCGTGTTCGTCACGTCATGGGTGTGGTGGTACATGAATAGTATCTGGTTTCTGATGAGGGAGCTTAGACCAAAAAAAGGTCTCCGGTTTCTGGTATGGAGCTTGCCCAAAAAGTGGTGCGGCGACGCGGCTTTTTTTTTTTTTACCGTTGTTTTTCCTTCAAATGTCAGCTGATGACTGCAAATGGTGCCCGACTAAACTTAGTGCAAATATATGGGAGTCCAGAGAGGCCACATAAAGCTTATTCTCGATCGTAACCCCATCTAAAAACACGTTAAAATTGTGTAGCAGCAGGATTCCAGTCAAACCAGTGAGTTTGGCGGTTGTGAGATATCATCTTTCATTGAAAAAAAAAATTTTTCATTTTGCCGACGCGCATGGCTACGGCGACGCGCGTGCATACCAGAAACCGGAGCCTTTTTTTGGCCTTATAAACCGTACATCGATCCATGAAGTTCCAATCCCAATGTTAAGATATGCCTCCAACACAAAATCGACTCAACGTCATTGACTGCGGCACCCGCTGTTATATCGACTTCAAATTGCCAAGTCGCCCCCAGCAAGCTCGGTAGTTGAGTTGTACGACTTCTGCACAATTAAGGACGTCATGGGTTCGAGTCCCACCTGAGTAAGCTTGCAATTTATAAGGTTACGTCGATGGAGGGTTCAACCTTGTATCAAAATTAAGATACACGAGTCCTCGATTTGCAAATCAATTAGCGCCAACCAGCAAGTTACATGCATAGATTTATATTAAAATAGTAAAATGTCCTGCTCAACGACACAAACCGTGACAAGGATTGTATTCCGGGGTGTAACTCACTTGATATTTCCAATTCTTGCTTCTTTTCCAAAATGCAGTTATTTCCTGGTTCGCATCACCATTGTTGTCTGGCATCATCTCTTGTTTAATATTTCTGGTCCTGAAATACTCCATGCTTGAAAGGGTAGGTGCTTCACTGTCGGTCAGTCTGTCGAGCGGAGGCAGTCGATCGGTCGGCCGGGCGGGTGACTGTCGTTCGTCTGACATGGCCTGTTTGTTTACCGACTGTCTGATTTTCTTCATTTGCATGAGAGGGAAGTGTCTGTGGTAATTAGCTTTCGCACACACACACAAATGATCAAGCCCGTTCTTGTGAAGTCTATGAAGATTGCAGTTACCCCAAATTCTCTAACCCCTGAAATTGATGATCCCTTCGTCCTAAAAAAATCCTTGTATGGGGGACTTTACAATAATTGTAGGGGTCCCTGGCAGCGACAGCATATAATTTAGGTATCATTAAGTATGATTACTACACCTGGTTGCAACATCATCCATCGTCATGGAAATATACGATGATTATTGTGTTCTTTTTAAGTTCAGATGATAACAAATAAACCTTTTTTACTTTGCATTGATCACTCTCCTCCTCTACGTGCCAAATATAATATAGGCTACTCTTTAGACTACTTTATCTATTTTGCCTCCAACAGAAGCAGCAGCTAAAGTGGGGCCTGCTTTGTATTCCCGCCTGGTACTTCATCGTCATCTTCATCAATTTCTTCTCCATTTTCCTGGGTTCAGATCTTGGTGAGTAAACTCATATTACTTGGCTTAATAAAGCGCACGTATCCACCAGTTCCGGTACTCAAATTCGTTACATCATTATTACACCTGCTCATTGGGCCAATGAAACATTCCAAAGACAATCTCAGCTCCCTGGGGAATATACAGCTCGATGCTGCCATTTCGGCGCAAAACAGCTAAAATCAACCACAATATCATCTCTGCCCTCACAGGTACCCATTTACTCCTGGGTGGAGAGAAGCAATGAGTGACTAAATGCCTTGCCCAAGGGCGCACGCACCATAACACCAGGGTGGACTCGAACCCACAACCTGCAGAATTACCCTCAGACCTAGAATTCAATGCTTCAGACCACGAGGCCACGGCACTCCACTCATAATTTCATAATTATGAAACTCCCGGGCTTTTATAAGTTATTTATTATCGCTGTTTCATGTGCAATGAAATAGCAAACCATAATGTTACGGCAAGAATAAAACGGTTGTTTTACGCTTTCATCTGATTGAATATCTCTTTGTTTATTTAGTAAGTCGCGTCAAAAAAGGACTACGAGATGTTGTAGTTAACACGTACCCTTATCGTAAAAAATGAGATATAAACAATGCTACCTTTACGCATTAAAAAAAATCAAATCAAAGTTAAGTTCTAAAGAATTAATTATTATTATTATAACATGTAGTATTAATTATTTCTGGTAATGAGACCAAGGGTTCCTCAAAAGCGCCCTAGGCACTGTAGCTTGCAAGCCTGAAGAAACCTGTAGAAAGGAGACAAAGATAAGACTATTTTGGGGAAAACCCACGGAATCAGGTAGGCACTGAAAGCCAAGTCCACGTGTGAACCTGGGCGGGAATCGAACCTGGGCCATAGAGGAGGAAGGTGAGGAAAGAACCGCTACACCAAAGACTAGCAATTCATTCCACCGCAACCTGGCGTACTTCTCAAAAATACTCATGTGTCATGATTTATTATCTCATTTGTTTAAAGGGCTATGAGATGGCAGGACATCGTATCTAGTTATACTCTACTTTTCCAAATTAAATGTATTATTTGCCTCTTTGTTTTCAGTTATTGACAACGTTGGTATTTGGTTGGTGCCCGTGATTGCAGTCAGTGTGGGTCTATTCGTTGCCATGGGAGTGTATTTATTCCTGGTACCCTACACCCGCACACGAGCTTTGGGTATGTACACTTCTTGCTTTATTTAAAACCTAAAGCTTAATTAAACCAACGCGATAAAATCTTCCTTGCATTATCTGCTCTGCCCCACACAACATAAAGAAATGTTCACTTACTAATTTAAGGCATTAATGTTAGGGGTAACACACACACAATAATAGCATCCAATAATTCTTCATATGAATTCGTGTGTTGAACAGTGGCGTAGCCAGGGATTTTTCAGTGGGGGGGGGGGGAGTCGCTGGGGGGGGGCTGCAACATTTCATGGGGGGCGTCATGTATATCAATGATATTTTTTTTAGAAACTCAAAATCTCAGTGGGGGGGGGGCGACTGGGAGCGACAAGGTTTCATGGGGGGGCTCCCCCCCCCCCCCGTGGCTACGCCACTGGTGTTGAACAAGTTAATACTTTGCTTTGTGATGTGCATGTACTCTTTTACTTCAGATATCAATAAAATCCATATTTCGTATACACACAGAAGAGTTAATGAAATACTCTGGAAATGCGCACGTTTACGGGAGATATTGGAGATGATTGTAGATTTCCGGAGACGTCTTGCGATTTATTCCTTTCTATATCCTGAATTTATTGCGGTAAATTATGGGGTGGTCCTCAATAAAGTGCGTATTAAAAGCTTCATTGTTTTAATTTTGACATGATTTCCCCTTTTATCTTTGAACAAAAATACAAATAATGGTCTTGGTTCTGTTTCCACCCCCCCCCCCCAAATACAATGTTTCGAATTTGAATATTTGTAGGGATTTTGAAGCTCGAGGCACAGAAGGCAGCAGAAGAAGCGACTGGAAAAGAAACTAACATTGATCTGGAAATGCAAGAAGGTACGTAAAATCATTACAATAATAATGCACAATAATACACATATTTTGGACACATTGTTGACAAAAATATGTTTGAGCTTAAACTCTTATTTTCAGGTCGATCCCCTGGTCTCTACATCTTTGAACACATAATCTATACGTGAAGCACTTTTTGTTATTATTTCCTTGCAGACAAACAAGAAAACCGAATTGAGAAGAGCGCAACATCCGAAGACAAAATGGCGGACAATCCCGATAGCATTCTGTTTCTTAATGGCAACAGCGCGCAGAATCCCAATCAAAACAACAGCAACAGCACAAGTCAATTAAAAGGTCAAGGGTCGGATGAGGTCAAGGATGAGGTCATTATCGAGGTCAAGCTAGAAAAAGAGGAAAAACAAGACGAATTGGCTGCCTTGGACAATGGGAACCGGCAACGAATCGGAAAGGAATCTGCGGCCTGGTTGTCGGTTAAAGACACCACGGAAGTAGCGGTGATCTGCGGGCCAATGCAGGGGCTCTCCGCCTGCTTTGCGGCGTTCTCGCACGGTGGGAATGATGTCAGGTAAGACGATTAAATCAAACCTCGGAGTGCTTGTACCACGCAATTTACAGTGTTTGGTGTAATGACAAAGGCATGCATGTTCTAAACTTGTCAACAATATTAATTGTTTTGTTTTTGTAAATTGTATTGCATGCTACTTTTACACGCCTGTCCATTTGCAACATCACTACTGACTTTTCTGCAGTTAAAACAGCTGTTAAGTTTAAAAATACCGATTAAAAATGACCGATTAGAAAATTACCGATTGTTGCTATGTTCTGTTTAAATCGTTAATTAACAGGTGGAAATTACTGTTGATATTCATAAAATCTAACAGTATATTGATAGAGCCTAAGAAAAAGGGTTCTGAAAATCGAACATACGGATGCATCAAAACATGCTAACCTTAGTCAGCACATCATGTAATTGCCACTATAATTGTCACTATGCTAGTTTCCCTTTTCTTTTTTTTTGCAGCAATGCCATTGGACCATTGGTCAGCTTATACCTGATCTACACGCAAGGTGAGGTATCTACCTCAGCCTCTACGCCTATCTGGCTGCTACTGTACGGTGGAGTGGGCATCACGGTGGGTCTATTCGTGCTGGGACGGAGGGTGATACAGACCGTTGGCTCGGACTTGACACCCATGACACCAAGCAAGTAAGTACGGTGTGATGCTGATAAGGCTCTATTCACAGCATGCATGGATTTATAAAAGTGAACTGGTGCTAACTATTTCGACCCTGCACGCAGGGTCGAAATGGGAATTGAAGGAACTTCTTCATCATTCATGATTTCAGTCATGTACACGACAAAACAAAACTCCTAGGAAGCAGCTCACCTTGTTTTATCAACCACGTGAATAAAAGGCGACATTTTTCCACCCAGCGAGGTCTCAATACTACCCCCATTGTTCAAAGGATTTTTAAGTCTGCTAATTTAATGCACACACTACAGTAACTCTCAACATCATCTGAAATGTTTCTTTTCGAATTTCGTTTGTTTTCACTTTTTACATTTATTTAATTTATTTTCGGATGGCCTATTTCTATAACCTCATAGTCAGTTACCTTGCGGCTAAGTTAGACAAATAAACACTGCATGAGATACATTATGGCAATGTAAATGCTCAATATAAGGGCCCTATAACTGACCCATTTGAATCCAAAATTCAATCCTATTATTCTGTGCATAACGTTTAAACATTTTCCCGGGAGTTTCCCCTGACTCCACAAACTATTTTCGGCCTTAGCGTAAGACTGAGTGGGCTGTTCATGGCATGCTCTGCCACGACCGGATAAGCAAAATGGTAACGTCTGATACACTTTTTTCCTGATCAGACATTTTGTTAAGTTGTATATTGCCATCAGACCTTCGAAGAATACTAGTCTTTGCTTTAATTATGTTTCACTAAAAAGATTTGTCTTGTTTTGTCTTCTTTTTTTTGTCACAGCGGCTTTGCTATCAATTTAGGTGCGGCAGTTACTGTCCTAATAGCTTCCAACCTAGGTATACCTGTCAGTACCACCCATTGTCTGGTAGGCTCGGTGTGCGCTGTAGGTTTTTTAAGGTCACGACAAAGTGTAGACTGGCGCCTCTTCAGTGGCATCTTCAGTGCTTGGATCGTCACAGTACCCATCACTGTGCTACTCAGCGCCGCTCTGATGGGCCTCCTGCAACACACTGTGCCCGGCATATGCACGCTGGAGCCTAGGAACACGACTGAGGTGTTTATGTCGCTAATGCAGTGACGACGTCAAAACGATTTTACTTTGAAAGGACCATTGATTTAACTTTATGAAAGTTATTTTTATTACAGGAAGGACAGCTATTAATATTGCCAGTGGTTTCATAGGCAAACACAACTATTATGGAGATAGAGGAGCCATAAACACTGCGGTAAAAATAGACGTTTTGTGGCAGATTGTCATGGCATAGTCGCAGTAACCTTTTTGAGATACAGTGGGCACGATAGGGCGTGTACTGTATGAGGCTGTCAAACCCGGAGACAAGTTCCCGCTATGGCTAAATTTGAACAGCAGTGGAACAGTTAACATTGCTTACGATCTATACTATCATCAATAATATAAAACTGTTTAATATAATTTACCATTTGTATTTAAGTTGCTGCTTTTTCTACTATCGCGTCAAACTGTTCTGCATGCAGGGTAAAATATATATTAAATGTGTAACTATGTTGCGATTTGTGGACACGACATGATGAAGATGGAATGAATCTAACGACAACTTGCACAAATCGCATATGGCTGAATTCTGTTTGTCAAAATTAGCTTTATTATTATTTAATTAGCTTAAACTAAAAGCTACTGATACTGATATTTTGTATTACAAAATATCGATCAGTATCGTGAAATATCAGTCGAAAAATGAATCATGACTCATTTGAATAATAAAAAAATCTATATATATACATGTATTTATGCGATATTTGATATCACTTTGCGTAATTCTTTAAATGTGGGTTTAAAAGGTTTCATTGTTTAATTCGGCAAAACAATTCCGCAATATTTCAGCGGATCGTGATTCGAAAAGACCATACAAATTTGGGGATTTCTTGAAGGTAAACTGTAGAATTTACATTTTTCCCCCAAAGAAATACTTGTTTTTTGGCTGAGCACACACTCCATACAAAGTAGAACTTTCGTAATCACAAAGAAAAAAGGGGATACTGTAGGTTTTTCATTTGAAACAAATATCAATATGTAACATTTATTTCTGGAGGATAAGCTTGCAAATGGAAAATCAAAGGCAGAAAACCTTTGGTACGTCACCCACATACATTACGTGTAATGTCCTCGTCATTGAAAATCCAGTCTCTCTATTCAATTAATATAGGTTTTCCCGGCCAATTTCCTAAAATGTTCATTCACTTCAGAAAATCGGTCATTCATTTTCGTCTGAATTTGAGAATCGCTCTAAACACGCGTTTCAATTTCGCTACAAGAGCATTCGATTCCATTTCAAATCAATCATTATGTGATTGAGCAGCACATTTCGTTTATGCTCATTCAGATTCGTTTACAAGACTTCTTTTTCGCTTTAGAGGGCGATTTCAAACATTGGCCATTCTATCTCACTTTTAGTTAAATGTTCTGTGATGCAGTCTGCTAATTTGAATGAGACAAAATGTACTTTTGATTGCACATTCACGAAATTGTATGTCCGAACTCTGCACGAAAAGGTGTGCTTGCGTAAATGAATGCACGTGTAGGTAACGAATTGGCCGTCTGTTTCTCAAAACCGAATGCACGGACAATAAAAACGATTGAACTTTCGTTAAATTCAAATGGGATTACAAACGTGCATTATAATTCAGACGAAAATAAAAAACTGATTTTTAGAAGTGAATGAACATTTCAGGAAATTGGCCTGGAAAACCGTTACATATACATCCATACGTATGTCACGCATCCTACAAATAAGGCCAGGATGAACGACTGTTCTGAGCTCTAGTACAAAATGCAATGAACGGAGCATACCTTGTCTTAATTAATGCGTGCATGTTAATCGCCAACACCTGACGCACTACATTAAATCTCGTTGCAACCCGTCAGATCTCACGAGTATATTATACATGTACTTTATTTTTTGGCATGACATCTGAAACGGAAATATTCATAAAAACTTTAAGCAAAACCACTCCTTGGGAAAGCCTATACTTGTGACAAAGTTGTTAAACAAACAAAATACTACAGGATATAACTTACAGTTGGTAATGTCCAATTTTGTCGTTATAGATGAAGTATTTACCCGTGGAAAAAAACGTCAAATGTGACAATTTTTTCGATGAGCTTTTTACATTTTTTCCTGTAACATTTGTCTTTACTGATACAACTGCCGCTTTTTTCCCAGGCAGTGAAATGTTTTTTTTTTTATAGATTTTGTGTGTGAACGAAAACAAGTGTTTGTTTGATTTGTTGAATTTTGTAATGGTTATTCATATTTTCTGTTTATGTTTTAATTTTTCATGTATTTTGAATAGATTCATATACACTGAGAACACCGTTCACCCAAATCTCACGTCTCAACAAATCATCATGCCTCTCCGTTAGTCCGTTGGTTACATGTAGTTAGCAACAAACGTTGACATTGTGTGTAGGGCTCCTACATTGCTCCATTGTGTATTGCTTCTAAACCATTTCAACCACACTTGATCAAAAGTACCAGTAGCCCCCCCCCCCAACCTGTCACATGACCAAACTGGGGCCAAAGGTCATCATGGGGGTCAAACACCTGGTGTTTTTTTTTTACTCAAAACACTACTCCTTCCATACATTACGTGGCACAATCACGTGACTCATGCACAAACACGAATTCGTTGGCCCGCTGCCTCCGAGCTGTTTCTGATCGAGCTTGTTAATTAGGCTTTCATCAAAAGTTTTCGGAAGATGTGGTCCCGAACCGGGAAAAAAAAACAATTCGTCATTTCATAGTTCATTTTAACGCTAAAGATATGGTGCTCGACGTAAACATGGTTATGTAGTTATCACTTATTAGAATTCAAAAATAAAGGCCAGAACTGTAGGATATTGAATATTCAAAAATATAATTAACTCGCTTGACAGAAATTCGACACCAGATCGAGCGCAGAGCCCTGCAAATTTGATGGCAACCGCGCGCAGTGTTTCAAGCTGTCTGGATCTTTTTTGTTGCACAAGTAGGCCTATGATGGTATTCCCAGCTGTAGGCCTACCGGACGTTTATCTAGACAAGAGTTTGAAAAGGTCGTTCATCGTTGTGTGTAGGATCCGTGCGTAAATGAACCAGCAATTAAATTATTCACAAACAATCGAGTTCGTTGTTTTGGGTGAATGTAGAATAAAATCCATAAATAAGTTCTTGGCATAAATAAACGTCAACAACACACTTCGGAGACAAAAATTGTATTACTTTAGCTCCAACTTTACAGGTGGCCTTTATCGAAATGTCCCAAGCCGGTCCTGGGAGATAAGTAAGTAAGTTATAAGTTTTATTGTCCGGCTAAGAGGTTAACAATAACTATACCGTAATTGTTAGACTCGTGTAAGCTACATGTCCCGATGAATTATAAACAAGTGCGCAGATATTGATATGTTTCTTGTAACCTGGGCATGCAACATTTCAAAAATAGGTCATTTGATAATTGCCCTAACGTTTAAAAAAATTATAAAGATATCTTATGCATAACTTGAAGATGCACCGATGACATTAAATAAAATTCGTAAAGGTCAAAGCCAACACCAAGTTCAACTATTTTTTTTTACAGGGGGCAAGGGATATCTTCACTAAAATAGTATTTAGTTATGGCCTTTAAAGCCAAATCAACTCGACTTTCCTGGATTTGCTTTCTCGAACAAAGTAAAGATTTTTCTACTAAGATGCGTGAAAGCGGAGTTGGGGGAGGGCAATGATGTACACAAAATAGTAACTGAGGGAACTCCGCTTGAAGAAAAAAAACACGAAAATTAAATTGGTATATCCAATGAAAACGAGTGGTTTTGTGTAGGCTTGATTCCTTAATACTGCCATCTTTTGGCTCAAGCAGCATGGACGAGCCCCACTTGTTGAATGCTGGACTTGAAGGTCGTCAACGCTGACCTGTTTCTGGGCCCATTATGACTTGTAAAGGGGTCAGACAGTAGCGCAGCCAAGAGGTGGGGGCCTGGGGCCGACGCGTTGCCCCCCCCCCCCCCCCCCCCCCCGCCGCTCCACAAATTGCCTGTTTTTTAAAGTAACTTGAACCTTGCATGCCTTCCACATCAATCCTATAAAAGCCGCCGTCATAAACTCAAAATTTAAGGGTATAAATAATATCTCTCACAGTAAGATATGACGACGAATAGGCCCTACTTCAGTCTTCAGTCGGCAAAGACTCGTTCAAGGTTCCTCTAATTCTCCAAACACAGCTGTCAACTTTTTTGTAGTTGTTTTAGAAAGTTTCTTATTTTTGCTTTTTTTACGGCTCACAAACGATATATGGACGATTACAGAATAAGCAAATTTGTCGCTGAAAATTGGAGTTGAAGTTTTTTAAATAGACCATCTTCCGAGTCCACGTTCACTGTTTTTGTGAACGTCTTGGTACCAAACACTGACTAGTCTAGTCACAGACTCCCGTGTTGGAATTGACTCAATTCTTATCTGCATGATCGATGGAACGGAAGTTGAGGTCAACATTTTTTAATTTCATAATAGTCATCACTTCGCAATATTTTCAATATGTTTTCAATTGGTATGCTTTCTTTTCTTTCAAAGTACCCATTTATTGCCCTTGATTGGTTGGGCCCAGTCAGGACACAAATACATGTAAACAAGTAGGACAATACACACACTCTATAAAGTCAACTTTATACACGCTCTGTTAAAAACAAAAGTATTTCAGTCTAGTTGAACTCCAGACCTGTGCCCTATGCACATTTCATTAAACCACGCCTGGTACAGAGCTTATCTGGACATGTGCGCACCACAGGTACGCCACGTGAACTCATTGATATCTCTTTATGCACTTGACAATGGGGTCATGCACAGTCATAGCTTAAAGGCATTATCACTATAGTGGCCTTTATGGTACTACTGAACCATCATAAGTTGAGTGTCAGTCAACTTCTGTAAAGGACAAATTCGTGTTTAATTCTCTCCTCGAGCCACTTTGCGATTTCAGAATTTCAATTAACGTACTTGACTCCAGAACGTACGTGCCTACCCCGTGGCAACGCAATGCTAGCAGCACTTTACGCCAGGGTACGTATGATGATTTGTGATTGACACACTCTCTTTTGGTTTATCTGTCATATTATCAATACTGGGTACAAGTAATGATGGCTAGATGTTATTGTTCATGACTATGAATACAAATGCACTTGGATTCAAAAGGCAAATACACAAGATGCCTATCACTAGGTTTGGTTACTGGCACCTCCTTAAAAAAAATCTCTACTCTGGAACTCTCTTCCCATCCACATCCGTGAAACTGATTCATTAGACTCGTTTAAGATAGTACTTAAGAGCTTTCTTTTTTCACAAGCCTTTGATTAGTAAATTGATATTTGTACAAGAAACAACTGTGCGCTTTGAAACATGGTGGAAAGCGCATTATAAATGTTGTAAGTTATAGTTATAGTTATAAAAAAAAAACATTTTTGTTGTATAATCACAAGCCTCCTCAATAAAACAGGAGATATAACCCCTCCCCCCTCCAAAACAAAACACTTCCAAACAAGAAACAACAAGAAAAAAAGAAGGAAAAAGGAGAAAGAGGTGCAAAGCCGTATTGCTGTTAAATTTGATGGGGTGGAGGTTGGACAAATGCATCCCTGCTCAAGCTCGGAAAAATGATAAATTGAGAATATAATGAAAAAGTTAAGGAATTTTGGGGAAAAATTTGCTTTGCCCGTTAGAACGTTAGAACACCTCCGCTTAAAGTTCTATACCCAAATTTTTCACCGTGTTCGAATTTTTTTTTCGAACTAATATTTTATTTGAATGCTATATTTAAATGGAAAAAAACAGTTTTTGTATTTTAGACATTTTCGACCCTTTGAAAATGTCTGCTTTTATTGTGGGTTTTTTTTCTTCCATAATGCAAAAAAATATGCCTGAACTACGGCCGGCCGCAAATAATTCATAACGTGTAAATGACACCATGTCTCGAACTGGAGTAACTTTTGTTTCACAAGAAAATAGCAAATAGAAACAAAATCTATTTTCGAGGTGAAACTCGATAAAAGTACTTGGAGAACAACTTTAAATCGCAGTCTATTAAGCTTCCTAAGTAATACCAGGATACATGTACGTTGTCTGTATATATAACGTTCCCAAATATATACCTTTTGTCTGTAGGCCTATTCGTCAGAGCTGCGTAATTTATCACAAGGGTTGAGGTTAATTTGTAACCTATCCATTAACGTTAACTAACCATGCTGTGCAATGCTTGAACTTGAAACGGTAGTGCAAAGTACAGATGCGCCACGCACATGGCGTGTGGACGGTGAACTTACAAGTGAACTCAACGTTGAAATACACGCGATATCATAAGTGCTCCTCAGTTACATGGAGCCCAAGCTACTCCGCACACGGATATACATCAGCTGTCGCATAGCTTCATTGCAAGGTAAGACATCCGTGTGTGCATTCCTCAATTTACAGAAAAGTGTGGGGATATATTAATAAATTGTTGTATGGAAACATATTTGCGCTTGGAAGTAATTAGTTTTTGTGTAGAATGATTGAGGGTTTCGCAATTACAGCAAAGTAACGTCTGTTCAGAGCCAATGTGGCCCATTAGGCCGGCGTTTAAGTTAACATATTCACATAACCTTCCTTCTTGTCGAAGTCAAAGCAACCTGCATTCCTTTACACTTAAGAGTGCCCCTTTCAGTTTACACCACGACTTTACTATTGGTACAGTTAAGGTTTAAACTAATTGTTTAATACGCTCTCGTGTAGACATGGGTGAACTAAAAGGACGCACCAGCTGAATTACGATAACGAAAGTGTTGACGACTGCATATTGACGATCGATTGTCAATTCGGCGACTTTCTCACGCTAAACCGAACACGGATGCGTTCAACTTTTTTGACTTACCGTGTTACAAATGGTATAGGAGGCCTTTTTTTGTAGGTTTCAAGTCAGACTCCGAATCATATTCAATGACCAACGTCACGAGTCTCGAGTTATATTGCCTTTGAAATAGGCAAGGCAGTCCATGCAGGCTGAGTTATTGCAATAATGCGTGACTTAGCTGTATGCTCACTTCACCCATTCGACAAACACTGCAGGAGTCATGTTGATAACTGTCAGCAAAGGTTGACATAAAGAAGACCGAAATGTAAGGACCGACCATGGACTGCGTAATTGGCGGCCAATGGCAGACCGCTGGCGGTCGGCAATTCACCGTCAAGGTCGTCTGGTAGCCACGACCAAGGTGGGATAAGACATAAATATCAGTCAAGTTTGGAACAAATATGTTACCGACATCCTGACAGCCACAGACCATAAAGAATATACACGCAATCGGTTATTTTCATTTCGGTTAATTTCATAGGAGAAGTGTGGCCTAGCAGTTAGGGTTCGTGACTCATGATCAGAGGGTTATAGGTTCGAATCCAGCTGCTGGCCATAATGTTGTGTTCTTGGGCAAGCCACTTCATCCCCACTTGCCTCTCTCCACCCAGGAGTATAAATGGGTACCGGCATTGGGGAGTAACCTATGACTAGCATTCCGTCCAGGGGAATGGAAATATTATCAATCGTTTCATGTCACTGAAACCAGAGATATTTCTATTTTCTATTTCTAACTATGACCGGGGTAGGGGGGGCACTTACCCCCCACCCCACCCCGATTTCCCCATGCCAACAAAGGTGCCCTCTCGCGGTTATAGATGTGCCCTTTGAGATGAAAACAAACTGTCCCTCAAACGCACACGTATGAAAGCATATGATCGCGCTACAAATAAATCACCTCTCTTGTAAGGCGAAGCTGCCCTCAAAACACAAGTACCCCTCTCGCATTAACAAGATTGTGCTCCTTCTCGAGGTGAAAAAGTACCCCTCGAAAGCACAAATACCCCTCTGGCAATAATAAATTGTGCCCCCTCGAGATGGAAAATGGGCCATCAAAAACAATAGTGCTCCTCTCGCGATAACTTCTCGAGATGTAAAACTGCCCCTCGAAAGCACAATTAGTGCCCCGCTCCCAACATTAAAATTGTGCCCCCTCTCAAGATGGAAAACTGGCCACTACAAAATAATAGTGCTCTCTACGCGAATGAAATGGTCACTGAACTGGCCATCAAAAGCAACAGTGCCCCTCTCGCAAACAAAATATGGTCTCTCTATAATAACTCGGTAAAAGAAACGCTAAGAGCAAGATGGACAACGTTTTCATAATTTTGTTCCTCGCCATATAGGTTAGTAGCGAAATGAACGGAACCATAATCCCTCCACTTTCACACCGACGGAAGGGGCCCCTTTTTTGAGAAAGTGCCCCTTCGTGGTGTTGCCCCCAGTATGAAAAACGTTCCGCCGCCCTGTCGTGCCGACATAATGCAACTCAGACAGTGTGCACTGGACTGCCCAACATCAATTTTTGCGGACCCAGTGATGGACGATCAAAACGGATTTTCTTGTTGCGATCGTAACTCAAAGCACAAAGTTATTCCTCACCTTTATCCTCTGTATTTTTACTTTTCGTTTCTTTATTACCATCACTATCTCCTATCTCCTCCTGCACATAAGGGAAATGTCAAAGATTAGGCTACAGTTGTGCTACACTGACTGTATCTGTCAGAAGAAACTTCTATAAAAGGGCCGCTCTAAACGTCGAACTTCTGCCGTGTCGAATTCAATTCATTACATTCGGCAAAAAAGCGGCAGAAGTGCGGCAGTTGATCTAAAACGCCGGTTTCCTGCCGAACGTAATTCGGTCATTCAAGATAAATGAACTCAGACAGAAGATCCTCGTCACTCCACGAAATTTTCACGGGCGCCGCCGTTTTGTTTTAATGCTGAACAGTAAACAGCTGACCCAGCGGGCGGGCTATGCGCATGTGCGTTTTAAAACGGGACCGCGTGCAAATTGTGTTCGACACGGCAGAAATTCGACGCTTAAAAGAGCACTGCCGCTCTTCTGCTGTTTTGAGCGGCAAGCCATGCCGAACTTAGGGCAGAAGTGCGGCAGTTGCTCTAAACGTCGAAAATTTGCGGTGTCGAATTCAAATAATGTCAATTTTGGGCCATCATTTGAATTCGACACGGCAGAAGTTCGACGTTTACAGCGGGCTTAAGACTCGCTTTTCCCAAGAGAGATCTACTTATGGAGTAAAAACAAATTTATTGCTCAGACAGTACGTTTCCTTACGGATCGTCTTAATCCGCATTCGCACTGGACTTTATTTTGTAAAAGGTGTCACGTTCCCCGTGCTTTTCACCACAATTTGATATTGTTTGTATCTCTTAATACATTTTCAACTTATGTTTAATTCCGACCACAAAACCTTTTTTTCCACATTTTGGGACCTAAAACTCTCTAACAAAAAATAGGTGGGCTTTAGTTAAAGACACAAACCGATTCGCTTTGCCAGCAGATTGGCTCCCGGTCCTTACATCATACCTCATCGATACTGTTGTGAGGCGGGAACCTGCCTACCTCACGAGAACGGAATTAATGTCCGGCAGCTAATAAATATATAGCAATAATTTAATAACTAAACATGGGCCGATTTTTTTCGGCCTATGTGTCATTCAAATGTAAATAAGTTTGGTATTGCCGGAGGAAACTCGAAAACAACACGGGGAACGCAACTTATATGTCGGCCCGCGAAAAGTCATTCGTTACGTCAACTGCTAGGCCCTAGTTGTGCATGGTTGAACTCTGCCGATCATCTGGGGTGTCGCTATTCATCTGGATTGATGACGATGTCTTCTGGTGGAATATTGCCCTACACCCGTTGTAGTCGTCTGGGTCTCGTCTGTGAAACGGTGACGCTTTCTGTGTTTCGTATGAAGTCATTCGTAAGGGCATTTTCGAGAGCGGAGTAAGCCATATTATAAGTGAAACCTGTTGGCCGAGAAAAAATTAAACTCTTTATCAAATCAAGAAATAGCCCCATAGCAGACCCGTGTCACGCCCTGATATTTTCTTAAGGTTGCATTCCGATGAAATGTGCATTCATTGGTTAAACATTACCATTGCGTCCCGTCGCATGAACACCCCTCCCCCTTGACAAACAACATGAGTTGACCTGTGCTAATATCAACAATATTTAATGATAATGTAGTTTTTCTTCAAGATGAAGATAATAGGCAGATGAAATGTCTATCAACATATTCGTCACCGACACCACGAAGTAGGCCTAACACCCACGTCCAGTTCAGTGTTACTTCGTGAAAACCGCTTTATGACCAATTTTGGTTTCACGAAGTAACACTCAAGTGTGCGTGCGCACATCGGGCACTGGTGCGAACGATTTTCGTGTGTTTTTTTTTTACACTGTTACGGAAATACTATTTGGATTAAAATGTTTTAAAACGTTTGACAGGAATGTTATTAATCCGTATTCTTGTAGGATTACAGAACTTTTTAATAAAAAGCCTTCAAACTGGTGAAATAAAGATAAGTGTTACTTCGTGAAAACGAAAATGACCAATTAAGCGCACAGTGTACATAAGTGTTATACTTCGTGAAAACGAAAATCGCTCGGTTCTGTAAAATACGCGCGCGTATAAAGCGAGCATTCAAGTCCACTTGGGTGTTACTTCTTGATGTCGCTGATTATAGTTCAACTTTGTACTATGGCTGAACTCATATCTGTTGACTGCAGGTTTGTCGTTCCCGCCCAATAAACATACACTATGGACAGAATAGCTGAACGCACCAAAATAATGTCAATATTTGTGACCATTCGCTCTATCTGCACTTGAACTTTGCTTAGGTTCGTGATACTACTACCGATGATGATAACTTATAAGAAATTGACTCTTTCTGCCTTTGAAAAAAAAGGCAGGCTAAATGCCGGTTTGTCAAGTGTTTTACCCTTTATCTAATTTTTAGTTCAAACATTATGTTTATGTTTTTTTATCTTTTTTTCCCGCCTTTCACCTTACATCACTTTGAACACATGGCCGGAAGGAGTGGTACCTTTGAACCATAGGCCTAGACAAATCCAACTTTCCTCTCTGAATCTAGACCCGTGCATATCAAACGTTTCAAAACGTGCCACATTTACAAGAGACAGTCATACATCGTGCCTTGCAAGCAACTCGATTATCAAACCATCCACTTTCCATTGTATCTTGGCAGATATCCTACCCAGAGTCTGCTGTGATGGATCTACCCTACGCCACACGATATCTAGCTCCTTACGATGAGTCTATACTGTGGATTGTTATCGTCGGCTTCCTCGTCGCCTTCGTTCTCGCCTTCGGTCTGGGTGCCAACGATGCTGCTAACTCATTCGGAACTGCCGTTGGAGCCAAAGTCTTCACTTTGCTGCAGGTAGGACAAAATATAACATGTGCAATGTTTGTGGCATCACTCGTCTTGTTATCATCAGGAAGCAAACCAAAACGTTACCAGGCAACCTGTGAAAAAGCAAGTAACTTAATGTTAGCAGGCGCGGATCCAGAGGGGGGGGGGTTGGGAGTCAAACCCCGCCCCCCCCCCCAGCTATGTCCAAAAAAAAATTCAAAATCATTCAAATTCCTAAAAAAGAAGTCGAACCCCCCCCCATCCCGTGACACCCCCAAAAAATTTTACTGATATAATGTCCGCCTGTTCAAAATACACCATTCTGTAATCTAGTGTTAATAATCGTCGAATTTGAACAGCGCCCCCTATTGAAATATGGTACCAGCCCCCCCCCCCCCCCGCCCCCCCCCCCCCCCAAAAAAAAAACCATGGGACCACCTATCTGAATGTCCATTGTTCTATTTACACGGAACTAAAAATTTGTTTGAAAAATACGCTTTCTTCGATTATCAAACTCAATTCCGTTGATCTCGTTCACAGGCCATTATTTTAGCGTCGATCTTCGAAACGGCAGGCTCCATCGCGCTTGGTGGCAATGTATCCGGAACGATACGAGGAGGATTATTTGATGCCACCGTCTATGATGGACGTGAGGAGTTATTGATGGTAGGACAGCTATCAGCACTCGCATGTAAGTGATTCAAAAGCGGTGATTTCGAATTTCAAATGTCAGTCATTGCAAGGCTCACAGTGCTGCCCACGCAGTGAATGACATTTACACGTAAGAGCTTTGGGGTTTTTTTTTTCAATCTTTGCCAAAAAGGGAGCTCTTCAGTGTCGATGCTACTTTGAAATTTGTCAATTGTGTGGTGATCGTAAGTGGAAAAGGTGTGATGGCACCGGTACCTGAATAATCGATCTTGGTATCGGTTATCCGGTTCCGATGAATCGATTACCCAGATATCGATTGCATGACCCGAACTGACTGTTTATGAAAAGGATGATGACATTAATGACAATAACTTCATTACCATAGTTACCTTCCTTAAAAAAAACTCATCAATCTGTTATTCCTTTTTATTTGCAGCTGCGTGTGTGTGGCTCCTCGTCGCGACAATGATGTCATTTCCGGTATCAGCTTCGCACAGCATTGTGGGTGCATCTTTGGGATTCCATCTTGTGGTGTTTCTTGACACCGGCGTCGACTGGTTCGTCATTGGCAAAATAGGTCAGTTTGTTTGGTTCGCTTGAACGTCTTTAAACCTGTAATGTTAAGCTGGATCGTGTATCTAATAGCGCCAGGGAAGAAGTACACTGTTGTGAAATCCGTTGAGATACTTTCCATCACCAGCCCTCGAAAATTGATAATAATTTAAAGTGCAGGTATATGTTAACCATCTCTTCCAAAACGTCAATGTGATAGCCAATCACTTAACATTGAAAAACAACCACATTTCTTTTTGAATTAATTAATCTTTTGGACTTGTAAGTGCCATTGTGCTGATAACCTGTTGCTGAAAGTAACATAACATTGGTCACGGGGGGGCTACGGGGGTAGGAAGGCTGGGTGTTCTTTTCTCTCTGTATCCTTCCAGCCTGATGTTGTCTATGATGTTGTCCCATGTGACCGGTTGGCGTCGTTTTGGCTGATGCATTTTTTTAGTGTGCGGGTCTTTTGTTGCTTTGTATCTCAAACTTGTCTAATTTTGTAATTTATATAGTTTTTATATTGACTGTGTGTACTTGTATTTGGCCAGTGGATGTCAAATTTCTATGTTTTTTAACGTGGACAATAAATATATTGATTGATTGATTGATAAGAACTCATTTGAGTTTCCAGAAAACCGACAATCTCGTAAAATCAACAGCAATGGCTTTAGTTTCTCAACGAGAATAGGTTGTTGTTGTTGTTGTTTTTAAAAAGAAACTTTTAAGAAATCCTTCATGAGAAATGTAACAGGTTTTCATCCTATCACTTGATTTTAATTTTCAGCAATATCGTGGGTTGCATCTCCGTTCTTATCCGGCATTGTATCCTCTGCAATTTACTTCGTGTTGAAGTATACAATGCTGGACAGAGTAAGTATGCTCCTTTGTTCGCGAATTCCTCTTTTCAAATCTTCGATAAATATATATTAGAAAATACAACCGTGTTTTCAACATGGCCGCATATTACACGAGTAACAGTAAATATTTATGTGAAATATTGCACCAACTTGATTAATGAACTGAACAAAGTTTACATTGTATATATAGGACCATCCTTACCTTTCGCAGAACAATTTTAGCAAACCGTTAAATATTTCTTTGACAGGACGACCAACTCAAGTCGGGTCTAATCGCTGTACCCTTCTGGTATTTTCTGGTATTTTTCATCAACTGCCTCTCCATATTGTTGGCGATTAAAGAAGGTAGGCCGAAGACACATAGAAGATAAATTATTAACAAAAAGAAAACAAGTGGCGCAATCATTATGTTATAGCTTATACCATGAAGTCGCTTCATAATAACATGTCAAACGCATGATGGCACTATTTAGGACTTATTGAGCTGTTTGGTACATTGCATAAAAGGCACCAAATGGCAAGTTTTGTTAGCCTTCAAATTCGGACCCCCACCATATTCTGGTCATGGAAAATAGTTATTAACAGTCAAGGTCATTTCGACAAGGTTTAATGATAGTCAGACCTGCCAGCATCGAAATTAAGTTTAGAATAAAATACATGTAGCGATTCAATGTTACATGGAAATTGTCATATCAGGTACACAGTAACGTAAAAAAGGGGGCGGGGCATGAGGGCAGCCCCCAACTGTGGGGGAGGCAAAATTGAGATTCCTATTGTTTAAAGACCATTCAGTGCCCTTTCCCCTGAAAATGAGGTGCCTTATACTTTGCCTGCAGTTGAGAATGCCACATCAATCGGCGTATGGCTGAACGTTCTGGCATCACTCGGCTTGGGACTTTTTGTCGCTGCAGCAGCATTTCTGTTTTTGGTGCCTTATACGAGAAGAAAGGCCAAAGGTAGGTTTAGTCAGAGTAAACAAATCTAACTAGCTTATCCTCCCAAGAGTGTTTGAAATTCAAGAACGTACCCCGAAGGCAACTGTGACTCCTCCGAAACGCCAGTATTAATATAAACAGAAAACAGCAGACCCGTTTTCGAAAATTGCAGTTCTCATATACGCGTCAGAAAAACGATTTGAAGCCATTATGATGGATTTGGAAGCTGTTATTTATATAATAAAACACTACTGTGCTGCCTCTGTGACCACTTATCAACTGAGATAAAGTCCATTGCTATAATGTTACGATGTAACTTTATAACTCCAAAGTCCGCGAATTTAATGGAGAGTTTTAAGTTCTTCTTCTAGCAAGTTCTACTTGGAAATACAGTGATTATGTATATGCTGATTTTGGTTCATTTTTGCTGTGCGGATGAATTATCTCACACGATCATAACAAAAAATATCAATTTTTTTTTTTGGCGTCTATATATAGCTGCTGAAGCACGCTACCAGCAAGAACAAGCCGAACTTGAGAAGGAACAGACAATCCATGCCAAACAAGGAGATATCGAAATGAAAACAGGTAGGCTTAAGTGTGCATAATGACTGCCATCCACAACAAAATGTCACCACAAAGATTTTGAAGAATAAGAGACCCAGTTTCATGGCTATGCTTACCGCAGAATTCAGCGCTTATGATCACCATTTTCTGCTAACCGCGAGCTAGCTAGCAGAAATAAGGCTGTGCTATTATGAAGCACAGAATCGAGATGCACGCATGCGCAGAAGCCACAATTCCTCGCTAACCGGTGTGACGGTCTCACTTCTCCGGCGTGCTGGATTCTCCGGGTGAATGCGGCGGATAATTGAGCACGTTACAGTGTACGTTACATAAGCACGATACATGCTCATGTGTCCGCTGTGCTTACTTTTCATCGGGCTGTTATGGAGTCTACCAAGTCCATAACACATTTAGGGACACCCAAGAATGTGTTATGTAACACTTCCTGTTGGTCAAGCTTATAGAGAGGAGTATGGTCATTCCCTGGGTCTTTCCATGGTCTTGCAATTACTCTGATTTGTGTTCCCAGCGTCGTGTGTGTGTGTATTCGTGGAGGAATATTTAAGAACGAACTCCTTGGTCTGTGCAAGGTCTGTGTTCCTTGCTCGTTCGTGGTTGTCTTAATTTTTGCAACCATGGTTAAAAATAAATGTGATGATCCTTCACGTTTTTACATGTATTGGGAGTTGCGCGAACCAAAATTCTGGATTCGACTGGTAACTTGTAAAGTATACATTTTGTTCATACAAATATCCTAAGATCTCACGTGTACCAGTACAACCCCAAAGAACTCAGCACACAATAAAGTTGGCGAAATGTACACTACTGCGCAATTTGCGCATGCGTGTTGAGGCGAAATTTCCCTCTGTGGAGAAGCTAGCACGCCGGAGAAGTGAGACCGTGACACCGGTGTGCATGCTTACACAGTCATGTGCTTGCTAAGGTAAAGGGTCTGCCGTTGTTAGACAAAGCTAATCCGATTACGTACTTAGACGCTATAGCAGAGCAGTGAAATTCATGCACCACAAAAAAACATGGCCTTTTGAACGTTGTGTTTCTCAGTAAATATGCACAGTATGATTGAAAAGTTAAATTACAAAGGAAGAAGAAATTCTAAACTTCATGTCAGTGAAAAAATCGCCGTCATCGATGACGAAACGTCAGTACTGGTTACTGGTATAGGTGACCTTCAAGTCTGGAAGAAATCGTTCGAAAACTTCCCCAATTCCAATTCATCACATTTATTTTTAACCTTCCGGGAATTTCTCAGTTATTTCGCGAGTACTTGAACACTTATATCATCTAAGTTTATTCCGAATTTCAGCTTAATCTGTTGCTGCAAACGCTAGTGTTACAATTTAAACCATTTTCATGGAAAATTTGGACGATGATTTCTGCCAACCCAAGCCACATGCATTGTTCAGCAAAGCGCCTTAGGCGCTACAGTTGACCGATTTCGGCCAAGCCACGTATTGTAGATTAGCACATTCATTAGCGTCACTCGGCGTGTTTTGGCGTGGGTCTCGGTATCGACCAATGGAAGCCGGCAAATAGGGTGATATTTATCAATTAAGTACTCGTGAAGGAGGCTTTTTTTCATTTTTTTTTTTACTGCACACCATAATATACAGGAACCTTATTAATATTTGTGAGGCTTGAAAGGAGTGACAGCTATTGCAAACGTCAGTGCAATAAACTTTCAATAATGCACGTAGCCAGGCCTATTGTTTAAATTTCAACGAGAAGAAATGAACATATCACAACGATTTTTAACACATACTTGGATCATTATAAGGGAAATAAACCCTGAACGTTGCATGAAGATGCGGTCTTCCAACTGGAGGAATTAATTTTCAAAGATTTCACCCGCCTGCGTGAACATGTGTGTGTACGTGTAGTTTCATTCAAAATATAGTGTTACGTAACCTTTAGAAACTCGCCCTTCGCAACCACTAGACTGTGCAGTTTTTTGTAAACGATAAACAGATTCGTGATTAGTGGGGCCCAGATTTCCATTCTATTTTCATTGAACCGGCGTTTACAAAAAGAAAATAGGCTTATAGTCTTGCAATTGGTACCTCGCGTGAACACCGCCTTCAACTCCGCGTCGGGGAACCAGGCAGCGTAATTTTTTTCCTAGGAGGGTTAGAGGCAATGTCATGAATAATTCAGTTTTTCCTTTGAATCATTGCAAGACTTAGGTTCTCGTTCTATTTTCCCCTTAATTTAAAATTATCTAAGTGATAAATTTGGAGAAGAAAAATAGCTGATGAAAATGAGCAGCGACGACGTGGATTCGAACCAGGGATCTTTGTATCCATAAGCTCATCTCGCTATCCACTAGGCTACTGTGTGGTAGCTCGACGACAACTGTTCTTTAAAATGCTTTAATGTATTGTAACTGATTGAGTAACTAACAGCAATGCTGTTGATGTCATTGTCCGTTCTCATGGATAAACATGAATGATTCATGACATTGCCCCTACCCCTCCTAGGAATAAAAATTACGCAACCAGGCATGGATGATGGATGCAGATAAGCTTCCTCTAAATTGATTTATTCATACTTATTTTAACAGACAAACTAAATCACAGCATGTAAAGATGAACTACAAAACAATTTAAGCACACTTAAAAATACAACTGAACGATGGAAAAAAGCTTTCATTCATGCTCATTTAACCAGCGAACTAAATTGCAGCAGCTAATATAGATTGCGTTCGAATGTTTTCAACTTGGCACACATTACGACACCAGAAATGACGAAACAGTATCGAGAAGTTTTCAACAGGCCTTCTATGTCAAATTCTTCTTGACTTACTCTTTTGGTTCAAAATGATGACGAGTCAAGCTATTTTGAAATCTTTCAGTTTCTGCAGAGGTACACGCTTACGACAACAAGTACATGACGACTGACGAGGAGATGAACAGTGCCGACTCGGTGGACAGTAGTGGAATCGAGGCAGGCAATAGGACCCATGCACAGTCAGCAACATCCAATGATTTGGGTAAGGAATATTAGCCAGCTTCACCTTTTAATACTACACAGACGGACTACTTAGGAGTTAATGGAAACAGTTGGAACATTCAAAACAACCCAATTGTTAGAAACATATGATGTGATGTTTGGTGTATAATTAGAATAAGAAGTCATAAGATGTCGTACAATTTTGTAACATCGTATCTCCAAAGGAACAAAAAGTCACAAACCTGAAGAGTATCCTCACAATCACCACATGTATAAGGGCTTTCAAGTAGCCTCCATGTGATACAACAATGCAGAAGTACGTGAATGGGACTCGAACCCACGTCTTACAAGAAGGGAAAATCAACCACAAAATGCAATAATAGAAATGAAGTACATGTATAAACATGCATTGAATAATAAAGATGTAAAAAAAAAAAGATGAGCTTTATATGGTCGATATAAGAGAGGAGTTTTAGGACAAAAGTATTTTATTTCCTGTCTTACCAAGCGAACATCGAGGTCACAAACCGACCGCGGGAGGACTCAAGGCTATCACGCATGTCACTGAAGGTGATCACACTCGATGCAAAGGAAGAAGAGGAAGAACAAAGCATATTCCACGTGGACAAGAAGTCCGAGGACTGGTTAGCGGTGAAGGACACCGTGGCAGTCACAACTATCTGCGGACCTCTGCAGGGTCTGTCAGCATGCTTTGCTGCGTTCTCACACGGTGGAAATGACGTCAGGTAAGAGTGTGTAATAATACATATTAAAAATATCTTATTTCAACTGTTGTGGTTATCAAAGTGCTACATAAGTGATTTGAACACCTCATGCTTTGGCCACTTGTCATCAAAGGTGTCCAAAAATAAGTTGGAACAGTGGGGTAAATGGTATCCAATATGCGGGTGGGGGGATTTAGGACGGGGCCTCATTTTCGAAAACTACTTTTTGTATTTCCCACTTGCTTAGCGAGGCCGCAATGGAGGAAAGGGCGCAGACATCGAGCACGGGGGTCATCGCCGGCCTCTTGTTATGCCACTGAATTGGAATGTTAAAATTATGCACTTCAATATCAGCTTGATTGCATCCGAATTTATCAGCTATCCTTTAACGAATATCTTGATGCCGTTGATTTCAAAGCAGAAGTTAAAATTATCTTTTACCAAGAGATTTGCTGATCCGTTTACTGCTCTGTCAGTGCAGTAGTAAATAGACTCAGTGATAAGGAGAGATCTGCACAGTCCAACGCTACAGTGCGTTTGGGGGGGATGGCTCATCTCATCTTAGAACCACAACTTGGCAAACAGCCCTTTCCAGTTTCATAATTTTAACTTACAAGTCCTTTAGTTTCGGAATACTTAATGGGATAGGCCAAAATACGTAAGCTCTTGTTGGTTTTTAATCCTCCGAAAATATCTGTGGGCAGACTTATTATAAAGCTGACGGCAGATATAATGCTAATGATGTAAAACTTAATACGGGCTAACTGGGAGCTAGTAATACTTTGGATATTATTACATTTTTCAGCATATTAAATGCTACGCTAAAAGTTACCCTTTTTTACAGCAATGCCATTGGTCCACTAATCGGGCTGTATCTCATCTACACAAAAGGGAGGATCGACACGAAAGAAGCGACACCTATTTGGATCCTGGTGTACGGCGGTGTAGGCATTGCTGTTGGTCTTGCCATTCTTGGACGCAGAGTCATCAAGACCATTGGCACTGACTTAACACCAATGACTCCGTCTACGTAAGTACTCTGCCTCTTCGTCTCGCCTCGCTTGACCGATTGAGAATCATGCCCGTTTAGGAATCCGCAATCCCACCATAACTTCTGCTGCCAAAACATACGTAGGGGTATCCGTGGCTATTTGAGTATTCGTACATATTCTTTGAGATTCGTAGCTCATTCGTGGTAGAAATCTCTACGAATTCGCTACGAATGTCCTACGGATATGCCCGGATATGCTAGGGTTCTACTAAGGTTGTACTGCGAATAACCGTAGGAGAGGACCTGGGTCATCCGTGGCCCAATCGCAGACAACCGTGGCGTTAACGTCATTAGTCAGGGAATGTAGACCTACAACATTTGCTTTTGCTGCAATTGTCAGAAATAAGTGGATTTGGAGGATTAGTATGTTATAGCAAATATTGTTAAACTGACTTGCTTCAGGTTTTGGGTTCGGAGATGCTGGAAAATCGAAGAAAAGCAACCATATTCTTGTAGTCTTGTTCCCTGACCTCACTTCAGATGAAACGAAACAGTTTTTAGACTTCAGGAAATTGAAGGGTCAAAGAATCAGTCTGGCAGGCTTGTACCCCTTCACATGTGTGTAATCAACTGCAAAGAAAATGCGGAATAACTAAATGTGAAAACTTAGGAGCACTTTTTGAAAGAAGCCAGTTTTCTCCACTGCTGGTCGGCCGACTATCGTTGGAAAAATACAAGTTTTCTTGAAAATGTCAGCACACCAGGAACCACGATTTTACAGGATGCTTTTGCCTGTCATTCCCTAGCAATCCCGTAAGAGATTTCGTGATAATTTGATCATTTAGTTTGTTGATGTTTGCAAATGTTGTATCTTCCCTTTAATAATACAACAATCCGTCCATATTCTTGACAAACCAATTCATAGAGAAACCTTCTGACAGTCGTGGAAAAATAGTTGAGTATTCGTACATATTCTTTGAGATTCGTAGCTCTTTCGTGGTAGAAATCTCTACGAATTTGCTACGAATGTCCTACGGATATGCCCGGATATGCTAGGGTTCTACTAAGGTTGTACTGCGAATAAACCGTACGGTCTTGAAATCGTACAGTACATTCCTTGAAAGTCGATTTTTCACGAATCTCGACGGTTCATCGTGATCGATTGTTTAATTCTTGGTAAACCGTGGATATTCGTGGCTGCAACTGTGAATGTGTGACTGGCTTAACAAATTTTTGTAACAAAATTATCTTGACTTATTGTTTTCCTCTTTTACCAAGGACCAATAACACACAAAAAAACTCGTCCACAGCACATTGCCTATAGGTTATGCAGTTTTTGTATGTCTGCATGCCATCATGCTGCATTTCTCCGAACTAAAAGAACATGTTGTCACTCACCCTCAATCCACAGCGGGTTCTCCATCAACCTGGGCGCAGCCATCACTGTCCTCGTTGCCTCTAATCTTAGCATACCAGTCAGCACCACGCATTGCCTGGTAGGTTCTGTGGCCATCGTTGGATTCATACGGGCCAGGAAAGCCATGGATTTGAAGCTCTTCACGGGTATCTTCAGTGCGTGGATCATAACCCTGCCGGTTACTGTACTCCTCTCAGCTGCCTTCATGGGTCTCATCCAGCACGCCGTGCCAGGGGGATGCGACATACAACAGCTGCAGTATCCGCCACCAAACACCACAACTGTCATTATGACTACTATTGCATGAGGAGGTGTGGTTACATGCATTCTACTGACTGAGAATTATGTAGAAAAGGTGGAAAATGCAGGTGAAGTGTTGCAAAAGCTGTATTATAAAGCAAGTTAGTCGACTAGTGATTGATTCGTGACGTAACATACGCCTGCTCTGTAATTTTGACCAATAGATGGTCAGAACATCACAAAACTCCTCGGTCCTCGCTCCCTGCTATGCATTATGATGCGTACGGCTATTACCGAGCTCATGAATAAAAGTTATAAGGCCTCAAAATATTCTATATATAAGAGAGTTCTGAGAGCTATGAAATTGGGAAATCAAAGTGATGTGGCAGTGCACCCTAGCCCGGACATCTTGGATGCAATTTGGGTCCGAAAGTGGTGCTACTTAGCCATGTTGTGGAGGGATCCTTTTCCAAGATGGCTACTTTTCCACCTTCGGAAACATCACTCGTTTTAGGGGTAGTCTTCTTTTGGTGAGAATTGATCGAAAAGTCATCGGTCAGCCCACCAAAATTTTAAAAGAAAATGAAAGATGACATATTGATCATCATTTTTCTGTGCAGTCTGAACACCTGTTATAGAATTCTAAGTATTTGTATGTCTATGGGAAGTTTTACACTTGGATGAACCCCTATAGTGACAAGTGATTTTGAAGCGTCACCTCGTGACATATCGAGGGTATTCAGCGAGGTATCCGTCCGCACTTCTTTAAAAAACACAATCGTTGTACAGCTGTATAGTTGTTAAAAGGGATTTGGGTTTCATAGGAAACATTTTTTAGGGTATGGTTGGTATGTAGGCCATACTATTATGGTCAACACAGGAACGTCAGAAGAAATTACGAGAAGCGATTACTCATTATAATCGATGTATCATACTAAATGAAATGCTCGCCCCAATAGGTTTGCTGCAGGATGACAACGTTTTTGACACTATAGGTTTGTGTACAGATTAATTACAAACTTATTCAGCAGCGCCCTTAATATGGAGGGTCTTTTGTAAGTTGAAGGTCGTACATTGCTGAAAAAGAAGTAGAAAGCAACACATATCTGTGTTCTGTAAATGCTTTTAAATGGGAACTTTTCCCCGAAACTAGACTCTCAAGTAAATTATTAAGATAATTTAAGGGGGTAATTTTACAACTGGAATTGCATTCATAATGACGTAAATTGTCCTAAAATTATTCTTTAGCTTTTTAAACTATGTTATATGTTGGTACATTGTGGTACCATACCAGTAAATGAGGGAAATGGGTTCAAAGCCATTCGGAATTAGACCCTCGCTATGATTTGCCAAACTTCAGTCATTTCAAGAACTTTTGTGCTTGTATGTTCACGGCCGATATTACAGTCAAAACCTTATTTGGTTTGTCCAAGAAACACACTGAATCTTCAAAGAGTAGAGCTCACCGCATAAACCGATAAAACATTATTTATTTCAAGACCATGTTTCGTGCGAGACTTCTGCGTTGTAATATTTGTCAGCATTTAACAAACATTTGGCTGGTTTGAAACTTGAGGTCTGGTGTTTGATAAAGAAGGGCGCTGCGCATGCGCGGCAGTGAAGCCTTGCACTTAAACCAAGGTCTGGTTTAGATCATATGCATTCCATACCTCCCTTCAATCTTCTGTTTTCAATACTTTCAATGCGTTGGTTTATTTCAATCAAAACAAAATAAAAAAGAAATAAACAATTTCCCGTTAGTTTTCCCAAAGTAAAATGACGTGCATCAAAGGCTGTGCGGGGAGCCAGGATTTCCACCTTTTTTGGGGGGGGGGGGAGATGTATATTAAGAGTAGAATATCGATTCAAAAGCAGAAGACTATGAGACATTTTCATTGGTGGTTTCTTTGTGTGTTTATACAAAACTTAATCTCTCGGCAACAGAGTCATTTGCTCGTTTTTGCATGTGCAAAAACTAATTATTTCATAACTAAACGTGGGCCGTTGTTTTTTGGATCGATGTTTCAAAGTAAATAAAATTTGTATTAATAGAAACATAGCGGTTCAAAAATTTGTATTTTTTTCGAGTTCAAACTCAATAATGGCAAAGACATTACATCTTTCATGCAAATTTATATAAATGGCTATATTTAACTGATAAACCAAATCTTGTAAAAATTTATAAATAATGTAAATCTTGTAATATTTTTAATTGTATTCACTGTTTTAAACACACATCTTCAGTTATAAATAAAAGAATGAGTTGGGACTGTTTTTAATAAATTTGTGATTTTTCTATTTTTTTTTTCTACGCGTTGTGCAACTATAACCGTGGCTATTTACGGGTGGCTGTTGTGATGAGGTTTATTAATATGCACAGATATTTGTAATTCAATGTTGTAAGACAAGAGGGCGTCGTTAGATCAATTTCATTGAGGGGGTGTGATTTTTGCCGACATACGCTCCGTTACGTGCTTGAAGGTAGCCAGGAATTTGCTGGACACCTGCCAGCAAATAATTAAGACCCATCCGACTATTGGGGACGCTGTTTATAGCGGACGAGAGTGGATACTATCCGAAAATAGATGGCGCTATTCGTTGCGGCATATAATTGCAGACCTGTAAATCGACTAGCTCCCATGTACCGCAGTTATAATTACGCGTACTTCCAAAAATTAGTTAAAATACTCTCAACTCTCCAAAGTGTTTGAGACCCTCATCAAATTAAAGCTTATTTCATCATTAATTTGTGGGTGGTAATTCGATGACATTAGGGAGAAAATTCCATCCAAAGATGATCACCCCTAAAAGTAGTCCGTGTGTCCAATCGCCATTTTGAAAAATTATGCAAAATAGAGCAGTTTAGGGTTCAATTTCGGCATCCGAATTTCAGTGTAATTCGAGCTCGCACTCCTGGGCACGGCTTCCACCCATCTTATTTTACAAACCGTCAAGTTCATGGTCCTAAAAATGCTGTAATAGCTAAGAAATTGAGGGCATACAAAATAATTGTGATTTGGCCTGCGTAGGCAATTCTGGGCTTATTTACAGGTCTGCACCCAATTGTAGACAGACACGCGAATTTGCAAACGATTAATGGGGGCCAGTCGACGCATGAAAATGTTTGTCATTGGTCATCCCCAGTTGCTTGACTAGTGATTGACTTGCAATTTACTTGCGGTTGACTTGATTGCAATTCTGATTTCACAAACAATAATATTTGTAACCGATCACAGTGAGCCCTTCATATTATGCATTCACATATTCAAAAGACATTTAAATCAGTGATGGCCAGTCATACTAACATTTTATTAAAGGTTTTTTTCCTGCGAAATTCGTGGAAGAGCTGCCAGTGTAAAAACGCAGCATCAAACAATTTCGCGTAAAATTGATTGCTGATCCAAATGAGCAATATATTATCTTAAATTGTGTTATACAATTTGAAAATATAGGCCTACATCATGACATCATGTATCAACTGCACAACAACAAAAAATTCGAAGGCGTTTTCTTATTTTGCGTTATTTCGTTGTTCGCAAAATCTATTGCATTATTTCGCAAAACTATTGCATTATTTCGCAAAAGTATTACGTTATTCGCAATAAGTAAATCATTCGTTAAACCATGGAGGTATGGCACGATCGGGCTTCCGTACATTTACAGCTGTGCAAACAATATAGAGCAAGGTCCTATACTTTTACTAGCTCTATTATGATGATCGACGTACCGGCTTTAATAAATAATCACTGAACTGTGACCTCCAGACTGAGCACAGTGTATAGTACTTGCAAGTATTATATACTTTGAGCTGGAGGTCACAGTAGGTAAAGCAAATGCGAAACACCGATACGTGGATAACGTACAAAAAGACCTACGAGTAATCGAACTAAATCAGTATAAGCATACTGCATGTTGACTGCAACCGAGAGCAAGATGGACTTCCCAACCAGTCTGCCCACTTTTCAATTGTTGTTGGTGTTTGTCTGTTCGTTTATTGTATCCATTTGGTTTCTCCGAAGGCGATCCTTTTACCGTAGGTTGCCTCCAGCTCCCTGGTACATACCATTCATTGGCAGTCGGCAACTTTACAGCTCGACTATGCACCTAGACCTCACCAAAACAGCGGAGCAATATGGCGGTATATATACACTGCATCTGGGTACCAGTCCACTTGTTGTTCTAAGCAACTTCGCCGCCATCAGGGAAGGGCTGGTCAGACAAGCTGTAGATTTCAGCGACAGGTTCAAATTTCCCTTCACCATGAAAGAAGCGAAACTTGAAGGTAAATATCCTAGAATACAAAAAAAGGATCCTGATGCCAGACTTGCCAGTCATATAAAGTCAGAAATTTGTTGTTCCAAAAAAAAAGCTGAATTTGGGACTTGGGAAACTTTCTCAATTTTCAAGACTCCCACAAGAACTTCCACAAGCACTGAAGTGGCGTCGGGATACTACATTCTGTGGAAAAGTTTTGTCCTTAAAAAAAGCTATAGCAAATTGTTATTTTTAAGAAATACAATGAAATATATTTGTTCTTCGCTTTCAAGAATCTTCTTTTTTGGGGGCTCGGTGGACTTTTCTTTTCAATTTCGACGATGCCCATCACAGGCTGTTCCTTGTAAACGAGGGCGTTGTTCCCGTGATGTCACTGAAAGTCTGAAACCCTAGTATGTTTTTTTTTCAGTTGCTTTTCCGCATAAACTAACAGATCCGCTCATCTAGTAGACTGGTTCCCAGCGGGACGTATGCAAGGGTGGATCCAGAACACAGTTTTTGGGGGAGGCCAAAAAAAAATTTGGTCCCCCAAAAACGTGAGTCAAAAATTACGGCGTGGGGTTCGGGGCCCGCTTAAGGGCCCCGAAAAATTGTTGGATTCTAGATGCTCTGTGGTGCGATCTGAGGCAATTTCTGACCACTTTGACCAATGTTTTTTTTTTTAGGAAAAGATGGTGGTGTACTCATTGCCTGCCTTTATTGCGATGTCACATAAAAAAAATTGGTTTCGTTTTGAGGGGGCCATGGCCCCCTTTGCCCCCCCCCCCCCCGGATCCGCCCTTGGGGTGGGATGTGTTGATCAATATTGATACCTGTTAATATGTTTTTACGTCAAATTGCGCATCTCATGACGCAATTCCCAACATTAAAAGCAATCCGTTTTCAATTATAGCTGACTAATTATTGTACAATACATTGTCTTCACACAAATTGCGCTCTATATCTTCGAGGGTTGGACGAAGTTTTGAGCTTATACACATAGGACGACTGGGCTACACGGATTTGCTGGTTATTTTTCAACATGGTCTTGTTGGTGCTCCACACCTACGGATGCTGCAGCGCCTGAAACCCGCTGGTGAAGAAAGTCTCCTCCTGTAGCTCCAAAAACTTCAACAGGAGAAATGACATTGTTGCTAGCATAATGCTTGCCAACCAATTCCTTGTTCATGTTAGGGAAGAGGTGGAAATCAGATGATGCCAGATCAGAGGAATAAGGTGGATGATCAATATAGATATCAAAGCCACGTACAGTTCTGCCGAGTGCAATCACGGTGACCACCATCTTCAAGTGAGCTGATGTATAGTGCTGATGAAACAACACGCCTTTCGTGAGCTAATTTTCACATCGTTTTGCCTTAATGTTCTCATGCAGCTGCTCCAAAAGGTTAACATTGTACTACCCGGTTACTGTATTGCCCTTCTGAAGGTAGTTCACCTTCAACCGAAGACATGATCACCTTGTCAGCTGAATGAACAGCCTATTCTTCGGATGGGGAGACTGTGGATGCTTCCTTTGCCTTGACTCGTCCATAGTCACAAATCGGTTGATAAAATCGGCCGGATCTCTTCTAAATGACGCAGATGTCACTGGACATGATGAACCTGGTGAGTTTCTGAACTGGTGTCAGAAATCGCGGCACCCAGCGTGCTGAAAACTTCCCCATGTCTAGTTCCTTCGTCAGAATGTTCTGTATTCTGTCATGAGAGGTATCACTGGTTGTGTAGCGAATGGTCAGCCACCGATAATCCATAAGCATGCGCACGATCGACATTTTTCTCAGAAGTGGCAGTTGACAGTCTTCCTGACATTGGCTCATCTTTGAGGCTCTCTCTTCCTCGCTTAAATCCAGCTGTCCACCCCTTAACCATTGCAAAGGAAAGCGCATTACCGCGAAGGTTGACATTATGTCCTCATGGACAGCCGTTGGAGCTTGCCCTTCTCTATTGTATGCACGTGAGGACAGCACGGCGGCTGATTTTGTCAATTTTCGTCAACACTGCCTACGTACTCCTTTTGCTGGCATTGAAAATAACACACCATTAGCGTTTATTGTTCAACACAAGTGTTGAACATCAAAAGAATTCAAATAATATATACATGTAGACAATTTCGATTGTGTAGCACGTTTTTTCCTAGCTCCGAACTTCATCCAGCCCCGTATATCGCACATATACGTTTATGTTATATTTTGATCTAGGGTTATATTCCGACACTTGGGGCATAATTATAACTTCTGTTTATAGCATCTTTTTTTGGTATGTTTTTTTATTCTGCATTAGGTAATTTGCTTTAAATTTAAGGGTGTTGATGAGGTATCGATGATTATTAATACCGTATTTTCCTTTTATAACAGGTAGCATTCTGCTATCTAATGGGATTCCATGGTCAGCCCGTCGTCGTGTCGCAATAACTGCTCTGCGTTCATTCGGCATGGGCAAACGTAGTCTAGAGAATCGTATCAACGAAGAGGCTAGATATCTATGCGATGCTATGGATCAAAGCAACGGAACGCCATTCGATCCTGCACATCTTGTGAAGAGCGCTGTCTCCAATATCATTTGCACCATAAGCTACGGGCAGCGTTACGATTACAACGACCCAGTGTTCAAGAGTCTCTTGGCAAACCTCGATGTCTTCTTCAGAGCATCCGCAGTAGAGACCATTCTTTGGGGGCTACCCTTCGTAAATTGGTTCCCTCCTTTGAATAAATTTAAAGCTGCTTTCGAAGCGGCCACGAGTTTCAGCAGGCAAATGGTACAGTCGCATCGAGCAACCTTTGACCCCGATAACATCCGGGATATGATTGACGCATTTATTCTGGAAAGAGACAAACACCAGGATGCTAAGAATGAGTTGAAGGAAGCATTTCGGGAGGATTTGATTTGGAGAGCTATCCATGACATGTTTGCTGCAGGAACGGACACCACAACGTATACAATCTTGTGGCTTATTCTCCTCTTGATGAAGTATCCAGATATACAAACCAAGGTCAGTGATATTACCAGTGTCGTACGACTCGAGTCCAGGATTCGGACTTCGAGTCGTACTCGAGTCACATTTTTCGTGACTTGGACTCGACTCGAGTCACATTGGGAAATGACTCGGACTCGGACTCGACCATGATGACTCGGACTCGAGCTTGGTAACTCGTGACTCGAGTCACGTAATTTCATCAAAAGAAAAAACACTAACGTAGGGATTGGTGGAAAGGATCATTGATGAATAGTGTTTGGATGATAAAACATGGAGGGAAGGGATGGAGGAGGATTTTTTAGGGATTGGAATTAAAAAGAAAACACATTTTGGGTCTAAGCAACATGTACATACACAAGGTAAACAATATACACTGGGATTTACTTAAACGACAAAATGGATGATTAAAATATAATTTGTAAAAAATAACTGATTTGTTTGGTGAACAACTAAGAACAAGTGACTCGTGACTCGAGGCTTGTGACTCGAGACTCGGACTCAGACTCGAGGCTTGTGACTCGAGACTCGGACTCGGACTCAACGTTGGTGACTCGACTACAACGCTGGATATTACTGGCCAATATTTCCTATAATTACATTCATATCATTTAAAACATACCACAATATAGGGGTCTAAGCTATTTTTCTTGCAATGCAAAAGTTATTCACTTTGAATTTGACATTGACCGCAAAACTCCGCCCGTTTAGTTATGGAATAATGATTACTTGACAGATTTCGAATTATTAGCAGCTCGACAACAATTCAGTTATTGCAGACAATGTGGGGACCGGGAACTAGTAATAGTCTACTCGCAGGATGGCCCGTTTGTGCGCAAAAGCAAACCAAAGTAAAACCATTTTTATCTGACGGTCGCAGACGCCTAAAATGGCAAAACGGTAGCTATATCGTTAAAGGGAAAAACATCCCCCCAAACAAAAAAATCGAATTTATTGAAGAGAGCGGACAGTGCATATTTAATAACGGCAGTGCAGTCAATGCTAGCTCATTAATAGCAAACCACATGGCGCTAGCATACTTTTCAGGATTTCATTTTCAAACAAGGAAAAGCCACGATCATTCTATTTTTGTTTTCATGATTGTTGTTTTGTTTTGTTTTGTCTTTTATTTAATCGTATTGTCTATAGGTGCAAAAGGAAGTTGATGACGTCATTGGACAGACCCGCCCACCATCGGTTGCCGATCGTGCCCATATGCCATACACAGAGGCAACACTGATGGAAGTACAGCGCTATCGTACAGTAGCCCCCTACCTACCACCTCGTGCTGTACCCAGAGATGTGGAGATTATGGGGTATTCTATCCCCAAGGGTACCCAGATATGGGTGAATCTGTGGGGAGCACTGAATGATCCCTCTCATTGGGTTAACCCAGACAGTTTTAACCCTTCTCGATTTCTGTCTGATGATGGTCAACAGGTCGTCGTGCCGGAGGCATTCATACCCTTCGGAGCAGGTAAACCAAACTGTATGAGGAAAAGATCACATTGTTCTTGTCACGATAAACTTGTATGTTATTTCATAAGATGTATTGTCACATTCAAAATATAACACAACTATGTAGGCCTACCATAAAAGAAGCAGAGCTTATCAGCTCCCAAACATAATTATTATCGCACTCTTTCCATGCGAATTTATATATGAAAGGGTGTTTAAAAGCTGATGTCTTTTTACACTTGCAAAGCATTTACAAATACGTACACATACGCAGCATGCTGATGTAAGATTATTTAAGTTCCGCTGTGGTTTTGGAAGAGGGGTGGTGTGGTACTGAGCAAAAACTAATTCAAATTGATATTAAAATTTATGATGTTTGTAATGAGACAACGAATACATACGTCTTAGCGGTCTGAAAGCAGGCCGGGCTTGCCGATTCGCATTTGAGATAACACCAGGCAATGCAATCAATGATAAATGACAAGATTTTAAAAAAAAAATATCGAGACAGACAAACAGTCACTTTTACATGTACAAATGTAATATAGGTTTTCCCGGCTATTGTAACACTTGTATCACACGAATTCCCTATATCGATACTTTAATTTCGTTCCCGATCATCGCCAAGCTCACTTCTCAATTTGAATTTCAAAAAGCCACCACTAGATTTCATTTAAGGTTCAGTATAATTCAAATTGTTAGCATTCCGATTCGTCCAAAATCTTTGAAATTCGTCTCGTGAAGCAATCGGCGTTGAATTGACAAGCAAATTTTTGGGGGGGGGGGTTGTCATTCGTTTTCATGTTGTTGTCATTACATTGCGTCCCTGTTGACTTAAATTGTATGCGATTAGAAAATGCGCCCAATCTTTAGACTTATTTGAAGAATGCGTATTAAAACAATGATAATTCAACATGTATTTCCTTATATGTATAAATGAAAGTAGGCTTAGTTAGCTGTAAGATATGAATTTTTATTTCTTTGTTTCACAATTAACATTAGAGTCAGGAATTGACATTTCACAATATGCACTTATGACATGGACACTAAGCATTAACTTCAAAGACCTTCTTAATGTTGTTCTTTGATAGACATACCTTATTTCTGTTGTTTTATTCATATACATATATCAAAGAGCAAGATTACGAAGGCGTTTGATCTTAATGCTTAATTTCCATATGCTATAAAGCAAAGAGCATATTGTGAAAGTTCAATTTCTGATTTTAATGTTAATTGTCAAAGAAAACTCAAAACTTACAGCTATACTTTCATTTATAAGGAATTTGTTAAAAAAAATTTAATTTAATTAATGCGCAAACAAGTCCAAAGACAGGGCACATTTGTAATCGTAACGTTTTAAGTCACCAGAGACGAAATGTAACGACAAGAACATTAAAACGAATGACAAAAAAAGAATTTGCTTTTTCAATTCAACGCCGATTGCTTCACGAGACGAATTTCAAAGATTTTGGACGAATCGGAATGCTAACAATTTGAATTATACTGAACCTTAAATGAAATCTAGTGGTGGCTTTTTGAAATTCAAATTGAGAATTGAGCTTGGCGATGATCGGGGACGAAATTAAAGTATCGATATGGGGAATTCGTGTGATACAAGTGTTAAAATAGCCGGGAAAACCTATATAACAGCAAAACGTCGAAATGATCGAAGGTCAAGTACGGGCCTGTACCCATCTCCGCCCAAATTTCCGTTTTTCGAATTTTCTAAGTGGGAAACATTTCAGTATATATTTCCCATCATTGCCTCCGTCGTCGATACAAGTAATCGTCATTGGCAATGATACTTTGTTTCGTTGCAGGTCGTCGGGCATGCGTGGGTGAACATCTCGCCAAGATGGAACTCTTCGTTTTCTTCACCAACTTCATGCAGAGGTTTACCTTTATTCGTGACGGTACATCGGGTCTAGACATGACTGGCAAGATTGGTATTACGTTTGTTCCTCGTCCATATCAAACCATTGCCGTCAGAAGATGAAGCGTTTCTTTCTTTTTTTAGACCTGAATCATAATGACATCACACTTTGTTTACATGCTTTCCTCTTGGAGGCAGATGTGGAAGACGGTCATCAAGCTCCTTCTATAAGGGCATCCCTCTTTATTTCTCATACAATTATTCCTCTGAAGTAGGATCGGTCAGTTGGCCAACCCACCCCCCACCCCAAAAAAAACTGAAAAAAAAAGAATTGAAAAAAAAAGAATTGCAGTTTCACCGTATTGTATCTTGCTATATTTATTGCAATGAGTCTATCACGAGATATCACGAGTTGAACAAACTACATGTAATATGTTTTCCCGGCAATTTTAGAATGTTTATCATTCGAATTCACCGTTTCTATTCAAATTCGTCCATCAACATCGATTTAGTGCACTTCCAATGTTCAATTTCGTCTTTTGTCAGACAATTTCAAATTCAGTTCAAGCAAAGTCTAACAATGAGCACACGTTTTCGTCCCAGAGTATTCAATTTCGTCTCGTCTACGCCAAACCTTGTTATTCAGAAATCGAAGTCGTCTAATTGATTTATATAAGACGAATTCGATCTCTGATGGCTGCCATTTGGCAACAGCTCAGACGAATTTGATCGACCCGGTGACTAAAGAGGGGGACCAAAATTTGAAATTAAATGGTAAATGTCATAATTGGTTTTGTTAAAGTGAGTGATTTTTTTTGGGGGGGGGGACGAAAATTGAATGTTAGAGTTGGTAAATTTGAATGAAGAATGTTTTAATATAGCCGGGACAACGCATATATAATACAGTGATATTTGCATCATGACCAGAATCAGAACAGTGTCGTCTGCTAGCTACAATGCGTGACGGCGATTGGCTCCCAGTATTTTCTTCTGGACCACGTGTGCTAAAACGAACATAGTGATTGGCTGGATTTACACACTTCGGCTTTACTTGTGTACTCAACACCTTGTCTTGTCTTGATACTGCCCAACACCCCTGATTATAGGGGCCAATTCAACCGGGCAGGGTTCGTTGCGCTTGATGAAATTGCGGAGAGAGTGAAGAGTTATTTGTTTTGCTGGCTTAGGTAGTTGTGTACTGCTTCTTTGAAGTTCTTCTTGTCTTAGATTGTAGTGATGGTTTCTGGTAAAATTATGTTTCTAAAAGAACGTCGAGTTAAAGATCGGCCCTTTAGCACAATTTTTTTCAAGTTCTGGTTAAGGTTAGATTCATACTTTATTTACACTAATCAGAATACATGGATTACAACTGCAAAGTTGTTGATGTCCGGCTCGACGGAAGATAGACAGCAATCAATTTTGATTGTAAAGCGAGGGAACCTTTCAAATTAGAATGGAGATCGTTTCAAATTAGAGAGGGGAAAAAGTAACAAACACAGCCTTGAGTAGTGGGACCCATTATGCAGGTTCCATAATGTAAATTGAAATACGTGAAGGATTTAATGACACCCCTCCTAGTCCCTCCACAGAAAAAGCAACATTAGTGAAACCAGCTCAAAATATGAAGTTCCTTTGAAATTCTTGTGGTCATGCCCTTGATGAGTGAGGGTGCCAGACTGGATGTGTGGGGTTTTTTCCCCTCTATAGGCCTAGATATCTAGAAGGCGTCGAGTTAATCTATCTTTAACCCTTACGAAGGATGTGTATTTAAATTAATACATGTATATGGTAAACAAATAATAAATGCATGTAGACGCATGTACCGTTGGGGGGGGGGCGTTCTTCATACCCCTTCCCTCTTCCAAGGGGCACAGTTCAGTTTTTAATGCAAAGAAAAAGAGGAACTAGGTCTTACCTCTCGTCCATCCTCAGGGAAAAAAATCATGATTGTGATTTTTTTTTAATAATAAAAAACAAATCCCTTAAATAATGTAGAGAAATTTAAGTGTAACCTATCACTTCAAAATGAGCAAAAACTGATTTATAAAACATGCACACGAAAAGGATGTTAATTAACTATTATGCGTCGGGTGATCACTTTTTATTACAAATGTTACAGCTTTTGATTGTTTAATTTTTTTATCATCTCGGCACATGTGTCATTAAAAGACACGTAGCGTTCATATTTTGGGTCCAAGAGGGCAAAGCGGGTAGTTTTTGGAAAAGTGGTCCAAGTGTTGTGTTTTTTTTTTGTTTTTCGCTTATATAAATAGTTATTTTAAGCGGGGAGGGTTTTACCATAGGTGCTGGCGTTTTCATTTCCTAAAATTAAAAACAAAATTGAGATTGGCATTCAATTCAAGAAGTGTTGCACCTATCTCACTGACTATGTGACTCATTTACTGACTAATTGGCTCAATGTCACTTGTAACATAAACTTGCATAAGTCAAACATTGGCCCAAAATCTGACTTGGACGACTGCATACTTAGACCCCTCATAGCAAGTTGGTCTGGGACCAGCTAATATAGGTTTGCCTAGTCTGGTTAAAATCGGTCCTGGCATTTTTATTAATGGCAGAAAGTTCCGGTATTCTTTCACCTTTCTCGTGCTTGGTTCTCGAGTTTACTGGTACCCGTACCTCTATGAGATAACGGGGGTTCAGAGGAGGAGCAAGGTAATTTTTATTGGGGGGGGGCAGCAGCGTAGCCAGGCTTCTCATCCTATAGGGGGGAGAGTGGGGGGGGGATGGATGTTACAGTGGGGGGAATTTCATCCGTGCTGAAAGGATACACGGTCTGGTCTCCGTACAATCATAAAGTGTGGGTGTGTGTATGGACCAAGGAAAATGGTTAGGGCACACACACGTCCACGTTTGACCGTACCGATATTCCACAATTAATAACCAATGGGAGCTGTTGCTAAAAGAGTACAAACAAAGGAATGAGGATTAGGGACAATGGGGGGGGGTCCACGATTGATTTACGAAGATGGGTGTGTTGGGGGTGGGGGGAGGGCTGGACATCATCTTCCCATGGGGGCGCTGTTCAAAACCGACATCATCATCCATGTCATACAATAGGTGGCGCTATTCGATTTCCGCGGAACGTTAATACAAACAGCCAGTCGCAAAAAACAAGGTTTTCGTGCAAAATTAAAAAGAAAACGTGTGCAAAAGGCGCTTTATGTTAAACCCAGGTGACAAGTTTGTGAAAAGGGCACTCGCACATCCGTGCTGAAATGTAGATTGGGTTTTCTTTCCGGACACTGTAAAATACAAAACGGGGAGAGGTGGGGGGGGGGGGGGCTGGTACCATCTTCCTATGGGGGCGCTGTTCATAACGATCATGAACACCATCGGGCAATAGATGGCACACTAGCTGACGGTCGCGCGAAATTAAAAAAAAAAGCACTTGAATTTGTGTTAAAGGGCACTCTTCAAAAATATTGGGGGGGGGGGGGTAAACGCTGGTGAAAAAGGGCACTTGAATGGAAAAGGGCAGTCTTTATAACAACAAATGGGGGGGGGGGTAAATACCACCCACCACCACCACCACCTCCGTGGTTCAAAATTAATATAGGCCTAGGCTCATTATAAATCAATACCAGGGACAATTATAAGCAATTCCAATGGGTAGAATGCCCATCCCGTGGGCGGCTATAAACCAATGTTTGGAGAGTACTGTCCGTGCTATATTCAAGTGTTAACCCGAAAATATATTCTTTTTTGAATAGGACTTGTATTCAATCAATTTTATTATAACATTGTCAGTAACATCTTGCAATAATAATGCAGTAAGGGGTGAGACTTATAGTTACCCAGTTTACGACGGTAGGGTTTAGTGCATTAATGTATGTGACAACGTCATCTCGACCATGTCAAACAATAAGCATAGTGTACATAAACACCCAGGTTATCCCAGTACAGCGCAGTGTTAAATTTGCTCAGTGTAATTCCAAAGGCGTGGAGCAATCATAAACTTCTATTTCAAAGTATTATAATCCCTCCAACACGATTTGTTTGTTAAAGGATCTGTCACAATGTGCTTTACCTTACTGATAAGCTTATTCAAAGTGGACGCGCCATCTGTTTTGGATGTTTTGTATAAAAGGGCATGTTTATTCTTCCGTGTTTGATGGGATTTTAATGTCAATATTGTCAACCCCTTACACGAGACAAATTGGTCCGAACAAAACACACCTGATAGTGATACACCGGTATAGGAAATGTAACTGATTGGAATTGTAAACTAAAAACAATCAACACGGCGCATAAATTAGGTTGAAGATAAAGTTATATCATCGTCTTATAATATTGATCTTCATCCCAAAGAATTAAGATTGTTGACCTTTTTCCTTGACCCCTATCGAAAGGTCATGTTGCCACTTTGATTTGCCTAAGGTTAATCGCTACAAGCAAAGAAGGTATCGTACATAAAATTGTTAGTCTGAAAAGATAGGACTCTGAAATGATGTACATCGTTTACTGTCGTATTTTTTCCCAAGAGTTGGTTTATTAAGCTACAAAACTACGTAAACAGCAGCATTCTATGTATTGAATATTACAACTAATAATTGCTTAATATAAAAATGTTGATATTGACTTCGGTATCTTGAGATTGATATTCTGTTTAGAACGCTTCTTTTCTGATAATGGGATTTAGTTTTTTTTATTCAAAATCCTCTTGTAAGGGGTACAAGATTTTTGGTGATTCATTAAAGTCACGTGTCACTTTTTGTCAGACTATCAGTTACCCGCAACTAACTTTCCAATTGGTTCGATTTCTTTTAATTAATGCGGTTGTAATTGTTTCTTAAGTTGGAAATCTGTATTCGAACAAAAAAAACAGCAAAACTATTCATTTGTTGGCTGTTTTTCCTGTACGAAAATTAGAAAATACACAAAATATTATGCTTCCACCTATTTCCAATGTATTGTGTTCAAAACAAAATTTACTTCAACAGCTAACACTATATCAAAATATGCTTTCACACTTCTTCGCTGATTTTTTTTCACTTGTGACGTTTTAGAAAATGGGTTACTAGTCATCAGGAGTTATCTCCAGATAGGAACGGTCTTGGATCCAGTTGTAGTCCAGTCATCACAAGTCCGGTCACAAGTAAATCAACGGTCCATTCACAAAGCCAGTCACGAGCAACATGGCATGAACTTTGTCAAATTTCATTTGAAGAACTTGTAACTGGAATTGAGACTTGGTGGCTTGTAAGGATTGCAGGGACTTGTGACTGCCTCGACTACAACGCTACTTGGATCTGAAACCGCATCTCGTCTGTGCTCCTCCGAAGGAATCATTCCTGTGCAGATCCAAGGCACATCAGTCGCAGTCAGAGCGTCTCAGTCATGCTGGTTACTAACCGGTTGAATTACAGTCTCAAAAGTTAAACGAAATAGGTATAAAATAATGTAGTCCATTTTTTCTGGCAGGGAAGATGTTTGATGTATACGTCTACAAATCCTCGTAGTTGTTTTGAGTTATGCTCTCGCCATGGGCTGACCGCCCCCCAGCGGCGTCACCGTCCCCATCTGATGAGCGTGCTGGATGATCACACAGGGTGGACAGAACACGGATAGCAAGCAATCATTTTTGAAGGATCCGGAGATGTTACTCCTGGCTCGCACCCGCTCTCGTATCTTGGCCAAGTTGTAGAAGTTGTAGCAAGGCACCAGGAAAACTAGACCGCACTTCATGCAATCCTCACCCAGTAACTCTGCCGTCTTGCCGTGAGTGTAACATGGCAGGATCCAGCTAAAAACACACAGGCCGATGTTATCGAAACAGGCAAATAGGTCGTTGTTAAACTCACCCATTGCAATTAGGAGGAAGTCAACAATAAGATGACTGAGTGAAAAGTTGTGGGGTGTCTTAAACAATTCTCTCTTCTTAACCGTCCATGCAGGCTGGATGCCAATGACAACAGCTCACGGTCGCCTCTGTTCTGTAAACGTAGAGGTTCTCTGTGTTGTGCATTTGTGATGTTATTTCCATGGTATCCCACATCGCGTTGGTCCTGCTAAGATGGACTTTGTGACTTTCTTTTGTGTCTGATGACATCCTACTAGTTACCGTCTGACTAGCTTACATCATCGATGTCCATGTTTCCTTGCCTACGTCCATGTATGTCAATACTGCTGTATTCCATGACTTTACCTTCCCCAGATCTCGAAGGGTTTCCAAAGTATTAAAAAACACAGGACATGTTACCGGTCATTGTCAAGACACAAGTCCTGTTTGTATATTATCTCTTTGTTGAATGCAAATTACGTCTTTGACATTGTTCGCTACCTTTGCCATCGGTTGAGGTAATTAATCATGAATGTAAATTTAGAATGTGCAGATAAGCAGCTCCTCTGTCGCCAGTACATTAAAGGTGGGTTGGTGTTTTGAGAAAGTCAGTGTCTGGTTTTAATTACCTCAAAGTTTAAAGCAAAAAGTATATGAATTGTTCGTTGAATAAAATACAATGCTTCGTTGATCTCTTTCATTTTCCGTTACTATAGATCGACTTTGAATGCAAAGTGTCATATTGAAACTTACTCCCTCGTTATCAAGAGATAACCTTGCCGGCTGGTTCTAGTTGATCGAAATCAGCACGAAAGCATCTTGTAAAGAGGTCGGTTTAGGAGCGTGCGATGGATTGTCCAGCTCCTAGAGGGGTATTGACTCCAGCCTCTCTAGCGGCCTGGATCAAGGCACACCAAGGACATAGCAGCAAGGTCAAGCAATCCATGACTAACCCTCCATCGATGCCCTTGCTGTCCCGTACAGCTCCACGTGTCTTAGCCAGGCATCACAGGTTGAGGAAAGGGACGAACATGACCAGAGCGCAGGGTAGGCAGCCGCCAGTACCAACAGCCTCAGCCGTCTTGCCGTGAGTGTAGCAAGGAACGAACCAACTGAAGACACACATCCCAAGGTTGCCGAAGCAACCAAATAGCGGGGTATCCCACTCTCCCATTGTAGATGAGGATTCGAGTTAATGGTTAGAAGGTGGATCGAACCTTGAGACTCGAAACGAGTTAGCTCCTTATCCTCTGTAGTTTCCCAACGAATGAAGGCATGTTGCCTCAGCTACGCGTTTTTATCACAAAGCTTAAGCTATAAGTGAGGCGTTTCCTTAAACCTATATTTGCTGAAGGGGGTTGTTAATCCCTTGTATGCATTAAGACCGATCTCTCAAATAGATTAAATGCTGTTATCGTTTACGCTTTATTATGATTACGTAATACTAATCATCAAGATAATTGTTGAATAGTTGAATGGTTGCCCAGAAATAATCACATGTACATTTATTTGGTGAAATGCAAACAGCCTATTAAAAACAACCAATCTCCATAAAAAGGGGAAAGGTCATATAAAGAAGTCATAAGATATTAGACTTACCGTTAAAACCAAAATAATGAAATCATTGCAATATGAATTGAATTATGAATCCAGCTTTGTTTATAGGGCACAAGTTTATACCCAAAATAATAGTGAGGATGTTCCTCCGGTTAAACCAAATATATATATATGTAAGTGAGTGGGTTCAAACAGTGTTTTATCTGGAGGTGCGAGTATAGAGATGGGCTAGTATGCAGGCCCAAGGAGGACTACTTGAAATTACTACAGGGCGTCCTGAAAAAAAAATAGTGCATGTAAACCCCTCCATTTTTGCTAATTTGCAACCAAAATGTTTACACCACCTTCACGGTAATAGATTTAGCTTCAGAATACCGTTTGTTTCATTGAGAATGCTTTTGTAAATCCAAAGATATGTTTGAATAACGGCAAAGCCAAGAAACCCATTTTGTGCCACTTTCTGTGAAGCAGTTAAAATCAGTAGTCCTAGTCTAAAACCAAATCATTTTTTTTTAGTGTTTTTAACATTTTTAAGCAGAGTGTGCAATATTTATTTATATTCAATTGAACTCTTTCATTAAAGTTTTAAAGAAGTGAACTTGTCTGTTCAATTAAATTGTTTCAACATAAGAACAAAACCCTATATTGTCGTGTGAATAAAATGTATGTCTTACACCATAGGGATAATCTTATCAAAAGAGCCATATACTGGCATTGTCTGATCTTTGAAGCACTCACCTCCTAAAAGTGGCACAGAATGTGTGTTTTTGTTTTTGTTTTGGGGGGTTTTTTTTTGCCTTGCGGTTTTTCAAATATATATCTCTGGATTTACAAAAGCAATCTTAATCAAACAAACGGTATTCTCAAGCTAAATCTGTAACCTTGAAGATCGTGTAAGCATTTGCAGTAAATTCCGGTTGTGAATTGGCGAAAATGGCGGGGTTTATATGCACCATTATTTTCAGGACACCCTGTAGTGTTATTGATAGTTTTTCGGAGCAGTAAGAACAGAACAACAATCAAGACGTTAGCTGTTAATGGAACAGCATCATGTCACCATTATGTGTCCATGGGGCGTCCTGTTCTTCGGCTCAGGGGTACACCCAAACAATATATTCCCATTGACAAGTGTTACCCCCATGGGCCTACTTCAAACATCTTTAAAATATATATATATATATACAGAACTCTCACGGTATTCAGGCTGCACAGAAACATTGATCATCAACATTACATGTCATCTTTCATTTTCTTTTCAATTTTGGTAGGTTGACCGATGCAGGCGCGGATCCGGGGGGGGGGTCGAAAAAAACAGCTCTGACTCAATTTTTTTTCATAGAAATTCATTACAAATAATGTGAACCCCCCCCCCCCCCCTGCTCTGGCACCCGAAAAAAATTGTACTGGTAATATATAATATCCACAAATATCCACCTGTGCACTCAATTCGGACAGAGACAGCTGGGTTATAGGGGTATTGCGGTACACTATTCTGTAATATTAGTGTTAATGATCGTCGGATTTGAACAGCGCCCCCTTTAAAAGTATCACAGAGCCCCCCCCCCCCATCCCTCAATTGATGTTTCCCAAAGTGGAAAAGCAGCCATATTGAAAGGGATAACATGGCTTAACCCAAACTAAAAACCTAACAAAGAGTCGGGGTATATCACGATCCCAAATACATTGTATAGCTGTGCATGTGTTGTACATGATGTCATATATCAGATACATTGATGTCATATATCAGATACATGGATGTCATATATCAGATACATGGATGTCATATATCAGATACATGGATGTCATATATCAGATACATGGATGTCATATATCAGATACATGGATAGGCAAGCTTCGTAAAGCTGATCCCTGACCAAGTGTCAGAAACAAGTGAGTCAGTCATTGAGATAGGTAACCAGTCTAATCACAAGTGACAGTCTGTCTGTCTGTCTGTCGGGGAGTCAGTCAGTCAGTCAGTCAGTGAGGTACAGAGCAAAATTATCTAGAACACACTGTACAGGGTGAGTAAAAAAAAAAACGAAACCCAAATGTCGGGACCATTGTTTCAGTGAAGTTCTACATGTAGCACTTTCAAAATCTAGGATAGAAAAGCCCAATTCATAAGCTTTCTTTTAGTACAAGAATCATTCAAATCACTTATGTACTTTTCAAGTTAAGGAATTTTAAACACAACCACCGTTTTAAAGTTCTGTCCACGGATCACAAAAAGCTAAGTGTTCTTTCAGCAAAACGAAAACAGATCACATAGGGATGTGTGTGAATTGTTTTCGTTTTGCTGAAAGAACGCCCAGTGCAATCGCAAAGATAGGAATTAAGATTCAACTGAAAGCGATAAGGTTTTCAGCGACATGACCGCAAATTCGTGTCATAATAATAGTGCACGTATTTAGAGTCGGTGCCCATTTTTAGAAAATGGGCGTTAACGATTAATGAAGAAGCAAAGTTTTCATGACACGGCCTCGTTCGACTGGAGATAACAGCTCTTTCAAAACTGCTTGCTTGGTTTTGTTTTTGTAAGCAGGCCTATGTCCAATACAAATTCTAACCACATTATATTAATATAAATCTTTACACATACTCGGGGAATAGTCAAGTCATTTATATGCGAAGTAAATGCTGAGAAATCAATTAAATCACAATTAAGAAATCTATTTATTCAATCATTTCTTTTGCTCACTATAGGAAAACCTCCCATTTATTCCCTGTTTCATTATGCAAACTTAGTGAAAATACAAAAGGTATACTAAGGACGAACTAGTGCAGTTTTTAAAATCAAGACACTACAAACTTTACTAAAAGACCACATTTCGTCAGTCTAGATTGGTCTCAATCTTAGTGTATTTCTCAACTCAGTGTAATAAAACAATAGAAACAATTACGAAAGGTGTCATGTAAGCATAAAGTATCAATTAAGCACGTCAACAAGTTTAGAACTCTTATCATGAGAACATGCGAATTTTCTTAAATCAAATGTTGAAGATAATCACTTTAATTTAGAAAGGTTTCACACTGCACAATATTCTGACTCGAAGGCTTAACGGCTCTGCTTTGGTTGTTGGTCTTTTTGCAAAGAAGGTATGTCATTTAAATGGAATGAATGACAAACGGCGTCACAATGATGTGGCGGAGGATGTCCATACGTTGTTTATTTTTTTGTAGTTTCTTTGATTGTAAGTCGACAAAAGTATAGCAACATTGTCACCAGGTGTTCAGTGCCTATCTAGTCTAGTCTTAGGAAAGATGGTGTTTCAAAAAAGGCCTTTATATATAATGACTAAGAAATCTAAATCCATAAAAAAGCACCTCTATATACGATTATTAAACATGCTGTGAAGTTCTAGTTTATATACTGCAAAGCTGCAGTGTTACATTTATCCCGGAGATTTTTATCAGACGAGTGGTTAATATAAATTTTATATTAAGGTGCGTTTTTCGAGATGTATTTCAGCAGCATAAAAAAAATGTTGTTCAACCATTCTCCATCGTGTAAAATATTTTATTCTTACACGACCCAAAAAACATTAATAGCGATAAAAGCCTTTGAGGCTCTTGGATACAAAATATAAGAAAAAGAAGAAACAATACTTGGGACTTTTTGGAATTCCCGTTTCCACACTCGACATAAGATGCTTAGGGGCCTGTGTTTCATTTGGTGTGTCATACTTTTCATACATCGGTTGCAATACTACAAGATTATATCAAGTAACACTTTTTTTCATGTTCCAATTCATTGTTGTGATTTTCAGTTCAGTTATAACTGCTGACTAATATTACTACTGCTACTTCTACAAGTTCTACTGTTGTTGTTGTTTGGTTTTGGGTGTTTACATTCCGATGCGCTGGGCAAAAGTAACTGTTTTTTACACGAATTAATTTCCACCTTAATCATATAGAAATCTGTTAGCATTCCTCAATGCATAAACCATGTGACCGGTCTTTATGCAACGCCCTCCATATTTCCAATGTATCCCATGCAAATCTGCAGTATAATCTAAAAATAATATGATTCATTGACAATATCAAAACACAATCACTAAAACTCGGTGTGTGGTTATCTACGTTTGTTAATTTGTTATGCAATGAAGTTGTTCATTTTTAAAAGTAGAGAAATCCCAAAAGGTGACTTTTGAGTTACATTAGTTAGGCCAACTTGACTCTGATGAACTATTCAGCTGAGCCGGCGTATCATCGAAAGGAGAACGTTGTTGGTTGGTGTCGGTGTGAAGGCTAGCTTCAACGTTCGGAGGACATGACTTGTATTCTGTTAAGCTTGTAGCAACTTTCCAAATGAAGGAAGGCATCTTGCTAATGTGGCAACAATCTGAGGTGGTTCCGATCCTTGATGACCACTAGCTGATAGAAGGATCATGTTCATTTGGTCTTGCGGAGCAGCAAGCACATGCACATCCTTGTCAATAATGGTTGTAAGACTTGGAGACTGGGTGGGGATCCATGCATCCCTATGACGGTGGGGTTGTCTCTAAGATAGCCACTCCTTTGACTCTTCGGTGAGTTATAGTGAGATGAAGTTGGGAAGTTTGTATAATCATTTTGGTGCGGTACGAGATTGATCAACGTCGCACTGAATGAGGAGGGCATGCTGATCAATGTTAAACACGAGCCATAGACTGGCCTATTCCCAGGCCCGTAGAATTGCGCATCTCTGCCCCTTCCTGCACCAAAGCACACGGAGTACAGCAGAAGGTGACCAAGATGTCGTTGGTCTGATCTCCTTCAATACCACGCTGCTCTCGAATCTTGCCTCGGACCACGAAGAGCGTGTACCAATTGAGGAAAGGCACAAAGATGGACAGGCCACACAGCAGGCAGTCGTCACCCACAGCCTCGGCATTCTTACCGTGCACGTAGCACGGTACAAACCAGGTTATGCAGCACAACCCAACATTGGAGAAACAGCCAAACAGGCCTTGCTGCCACTCGCCCATGACGAATTCTCGATGGTGGAAAACTCACGATAAACTGGTAAGAAACAACTCCAAATTACGCCTTTGGGCTTTCTGGGATAAATTTGATTTCAATCCCTGTTGTATGGATGCTACTGTCGCTTGTGCAGATTGGGCGTGTTCGCACTCGATAGCGAGGCCAAAATATGGACGTTGGATTTTGAGCGTGTTTTCGTTCACACTAGGTACCAGACTAGCTAGGTCGATATCCACTGACTATCACGTGCTATCATTACCGTTGACATCGCCAGACAAAAGGTCAACGGAAAATGTTAATCAATATGACCGATGTGAGGACAGGCCCATAGCTGACCTGGGGTCATAGCATAAACTAATACCTTTTTTTTCGTATTTTGAAATGTTTGCATGCTTTCAACGAACAAAATGTCAATTGTTATACGTTGTCAAATTTTGTTGGAACACACGTAAATAAGTTAGTATGAAAATGATTATGCGTCACTTTTGTAATTTCATGACATATGTATATAACATAAACTTGTCTCATTAAATTCATTAAAATAATGGAAAATATTTCTATGAACAGGTAAAGAAAAAGGAGGATTATTCTCAAATGTTCTGACGGCGAACAGGTTGTCGATAAAATATCGCATACACAACTTCAACCAAAACTCCAGCAATCACAAAATCATTTATCGACAATACAATTTCCATGCCAAAAATAATAACAACTACGTAGCAAAATATAAGCTACTCACTGTGACAGTATAAACTGGACTTAAACTTTTGTCAAATGGAAGTTATTTGTTTCCATTTTGCACGTTTTCTTCAGGTGCCTGATAAATAATGGTATTTACCTGTTTCTCAATATGTAATCTTCCGGCCTTGTCTGCACCTCTGAAGTGTTTATACAGCAAACATGCCTACGTTTAGACGCTTGACTTTGCCCCGCTAATCTGTTGACAAAGCCCCATCGAATAAATATCAGAACAGCGTTCGTTTTGACTCCGACGTCAACCCTCAAAACCCACTTAACTCGACCTTTACAAAATAGTGTAATGTATGCAGCAATGTAGAAACACATCCAGCATGCTTCAGGATAAATTCACAAAATATAGTGTATTAATTCGTACAAATTTGCAGTAGTTTTCAACATTTAACGTTCTTTTCACCCATCAGTTACTTTTCAATTGTCATCTACGGGTTGCATTATAGTACTTGATCAAAGTGTTCTGACACTCAAATCCAAAAGGAGACAAGATTCGCAAAGGACGACAATCATTTTATAGTATTTTGTCAGATCGAAACATACACAATTTTTTTTACAGTTCAAATTTTTCCTGACCAAAATACATTATCACACTTAATAAAGATAACAAACAAATAGAAAAGAGAATGGTTTTGAAGGAGAATTATGGACTTATTAATTCACAATGAACGTCGAAACGCCCCGTGATCTAAAAAAAACGATTTTTTTTTTTTTTGTCTTACAGAATTATATATTTTTATGTTTTGTTTTAAAAAAAAAAATGGTTCCTTTGTTTTAGGCGTCTGCAACCCTCTGAAAACAAGGCATTTCGTTTTGCGCAAAAATGAACCCATCCTTTTGAGAGTCGAATTATTGCCTGACAGCCAATAATTCGATTTTTTGTGTGTGAACATATCATATCTTCACACACAAAAATAAGTAAACGTGGGTGAATTCTTTTTTCGTTCGATGTCTCATTCAAAAGTGAACAACTTTTATATTTCCAGGAAAAGTGCAATTGAAAAAAAAAACAGTTATATTTTTAAGGTGACAATCGAAACTAGTCCGGGTTACGCATTTATAATAGCCTACACGTCGGAAATATATCACATATTATGTACATGATTAAAATCATTACTTGCTATAGCGGAATCGAGTCAGAAACACAAAGTTGTCCTGACAGCGTCTGCTAGATTGTCATATTAAGGTTGAAAGTAAACCATGGGAACGAGGTTGGCACTATTCCATTAAAGTGTTCAAAAAGACACTATGCCTGTGTTCATCAGTTCAACTTCAAGATCGTTCCCCGTTCTGTTATTCACCTCAAACAAATTGAATTGATTTTTTCCATTGCTATTTTCCTAGCAATATAAAACATACTCATTTTTGAATGAGACATCGAACCAAAAAATCCAGCAACGTCTATAGTCATTGAAGCTGCCAGGCATTAATTCGGCTCTCGCAGGGCAGGTTATTTGTGCACAAATTGAAAGCCCTTTTTCAGAGGGCTGCAGACGTCCAAAATAGGAATAAAGTAGTTTTTCGTTAAAACAAAACATTACAATATGATAATCCTTATTTTAAAGAGCACGGGTATGCACTTTAACGAACCCTGTGATATGCGGGCCTCGTGAAGCAGTGACAATAACACAGTTCGCTGTGTCAAAATGAAGTTGTGATTTAGTTGTTTTGTTTCCTTCCTAATTGGGGTATTTTGTGAAACTGATCTTTGGACTGCACTTATCGAAACAAACTACCCATTTAGGAGCAGTGCACACAGATCAAAGCTAGTTAATCTTTGACCCGAGATAAGACTAGAGACGAGAATAAAGCCCATTTACGTCACATCTTGAATATTTTGTTGATTATACCATGGAGGTAGGAATAGTATACCATTATACCAGGGAGGAACGAATATTCGCATTCCTATTTTCTTTCCCACATTATTTTATTGGGCCCTTACCTCGGCCGTTTCTAGGGCCTTGTGATAAATGCAAAACACTCTCGAAAATTGTAGCAAAGTTTAGTAAATGCTCAAACTGATTAACCTCCTACCCCCCAAAAAAATGTTGATAGGCGCATAACATTCTGCCTATGTTTGTAGCACTTCAGATATTGTTGGGCGGTGCAAATAACGGCATCGTGACGTCAGTTTCAGAAATTCAATGGGATTCTGTTTTCAATGATGGCGACAAGGAAGCGATTCATTCATCATGAAACTAATGGTCAATCCGTAACCAAGATGAATATGCTCGTTTATATAGTATTCACAAATAATACATACTCATACATATGGTCATTTTATAAACAGATTAACTAACAGATAAAATTAATATCATAGCTTTAATATTGACAAATGTCTTGACAAATTTCTTTCCTGTCGTTGCATAACCGAAAAGCTGGAGACCTTTTTGACACTTGTGGGCACTCGTTCCCCCTTTCTTTTTTTCTTTTTTAATATTTTGCAAACTCGTGGAGGGACAAGGTTAAGACTACATCTTTTTAAAAAAGATTCAGCACTACAATTAAGCCTATGTAAGTGAAGGACAAAACCCAATATTAACATTTAAAATCATCCGACACAACACTAAATAGAATATTGGCGATAATTTTACGACTGTTTATTAAGGATGATTTCATTCAATTAAATTTTCTGATTCGCAAACAACTTGGAAACTACTTTCATACACGCCTTGAATGAGAATATTCAAATAATGTGCTTTATTCTCCGCTACACAAATCCTTGGAATTATGCGTAATGAACCAAAAACATTGTCTGTAGCACCAATGACCATAAATTCTAGATGAAAAAGATGAAAGCTAAAAAGGTACTATATGTGCCTACATGTAACTTTTTACCTGACAAGTCAATCCATGCCTGAAGCCACATTCAAAAGTTTCACAATGAAAACACGATGCATTGATTTCACAGTTTTCCTGCTAAGCTAAGTGTTCTTTCAGCAAAAAGGAAAACAGATCACATAGGGATGTGTGTGAATTGTTTTCGTTTTGCTGAAAGAACGCCCAGCTTTTACGTGATCCGTGGACAGAACTTTAAAACGATTGTTGTGTTTAAAATTTCGTAACTTGAAAAGTACATTAAGTGATTTGAATGATTCTTGTACTAAAAGAAAGCTAATGAATTGGGCTTTAATGTCCTAGATTTTGAAAGTGCTACATGTAGAAATTCACTAAAACAATGGTCCCAACATTTGGGTTTCGTTTTTTTCTCACCCTGTACACAGTGCAATCGCAAAGATTGGAATTATGATTAAACTGAAAGCGATAAGGGTTACAGCGACATGACCGCAAATTCGTGTCATAATAATAGTGCACGTATTTAGAGTCGGTGCCCATTTTTAGAAAATGGGCGTTAACGATTAATGAAGGGGCAAAGTTTTCATGACACGGTCTCATTCGACTGGAGATAACGGCTCTTTCAAAACTGCTTGCTTGGTTTTGTTTTTGTAAGCAGGCCTACGTCCAATACAAATTCTAACCACATTATATTAATAGAAATCTTTACACCTACTCGGGGAATAGCCAAGTCATTTATATGCGAAGTAAATGCCGAGAAATCTATTAAATCACAATTAAGAAATCTATTTATTCAATCATTTGTTTTGCTCACTATAGGAAAGCCTTCCATTTATTCCCTGTTTCATTATGCAAACTTAGTGAAAATACAAAAGGTACTAGGACTAACTAGTGTATTTTTTAAAATCAAGACACTACAAACCTTACTAAAAGACCACATTTCGTCAGTCTAGATTAGTCTCAATCTGAGTGTATTTCTCAACTCAGTGCAATAAAACAATAGAAACAATTACGAAAGGTGTCATGTAAGCATCAATTATTAATTAAGCACGTCAACAAGAACTTTTACTATGAGAACATGCGAATTTTCTTAAATCAAATGTTGAAAACAATCGCTTTAATTTAGAAAGGTTTCACACTGCACAATATTCTGACTCGAAGGCTTAACGGCTCTGCTTTGGTTGTTGGTCTTTTTGCAAAGAAGGTATGTCATTTAAATGGAATGAATGACAAACGGCGTCACAACGATGTGGCGGAGGATGTCCATACGTTGTTTATTTTTTTGTAGTTTCTTTGATTGTAAGTCGACAAAAGTATAGCAACATTGTCACCAGGTGTTCAGTGCCTATCTAGTCTAGTCTTTGGAAAGATGGTGTTTCAAAAAAGGCCTTTATATATAATGACTAAGAAATCTAAATCCATAAAAAAACACCTCTATCTACGATTATTAAACATGCTGTGAAGTTCTAGTTTATATACTGCAAAGCTGCAGTGTTACATTAACCCCGGAGATATTTATCAGTCGAGTGGTTAATATAAATTTTATATTAAGGTGCGTTTTTCGAGATGTATTTCAGCAGCATTAAACAAACAATTTTGTTCAACCATTCTCCATCATGTAAAATATTTTATTTTTACACGACCAAAAAAACATTAATAGCGATAAAAGCCTTTG